GAATTCTTTATAGGGTGTCCGCCCGGTTCTCAAAATCGGTTCTCTTATATACACCCTTACGATTTGTCAACGGAAGCGTCACTGAAAAACTGACTTCGCACCCTTTCAAACTTTTTTGCCTTTATTCGAACTCGATCAGTCTTTAATGAAAGTTGGTAAATTAATCGATGTTTGTATTCGTGCAGTGACGACAACGGAGTGAGTTGTAGTTTTGCAAACTAAACCTAACTGCGGTTATCCCGTATTTTTTTTTAAAGAAACAGCCTATGATTTGGGGTCAAAATTTTAAATTTCTTCTAAGTCAGTTTGTAGTCAAATTAGACCTGGAAATGACGTTTGGCAACGTTGTAGAGTGTTTGCAAGGTCATCTACTTTCAGCTTTTGACGGCGGCCATCTTTTGTTTTTTTCAGGAGGTTACAGTGGAACCTCGATATAACAGTCCTCGGTATAACGAACGATTTTTTTACCCCAGAAATAGTAAAATGTATGAAGAAGAACCTCGATACAACGAAACCTCGTTATAGCGAACAAATTTTGCCAGTCCGTTGGCCCTTCGTTATATCGAGGTTCTTTTTAATATGTTTTGCTATTACGGGGGTAAGAAAAAAAAACAGAGGTTCCACTGTATTATGATTTTGGGTCACTTCGTTCCCCGGTGTCAATAGCCTGCGTGACAGTAGTCCAGTTCTGGTCCGTTCCTCTCTGTCACGTAACACTGGCGTTGCGTGACTTATGGACTTTCGAAAAAGTCCTTCGTCCGATTTTGATGACTCGCAAGGGCGACTTGCGGCAAGTTTACGTGTCAGTTACTTTTCGGATCGGATGGAGACAAGCGACGACCGGAAATACGTCTATATCCGCAGGCTAGAGAGAGGGGGGCCAGAACTGGACTAGCGTGACAGGCGTTCGAAAGGGAAGTGGGAAAGGACCTCGGGCGCGCGAGCGTGCAAGGGGGAAGAGTGGAGTGCCTTCCCTTCACCTAGCGCGCGTGAACAACTCTTCCCCTTTTCATTTTGAATGCCTGCCATGCAGGCTTTGGGGTCAAGTACAGATCTAGCCGCTATCTAGTGTTGCTCTCGGTAGCCCCAAACTCGCCCTCGCGCTTGTAAATAGCCGATAGATTTATCCTGGAAAGTTGACATTCCCAATCTTTACTTTGGTTTGCAATATTAATTCCAGCAATTATTGCATTTTACCATTCGAATGCGAAAAAACATTTCGGAAAAGAAAAGAAAACCAATTACAAATTTCTTAACTTTACTACACAAGTATCTCAACAATTGTATTTACAAGTTAACACTGACCTAGTTTCTTAACCAGAAGAATCGATATCATTTTTATTTGACAGTCTCTCAAGGTAACTTAAAAAGGCTGGTCAAAAAGAAAAATTAAATTTCATTTGATCAACGAAAGGAGCCACAACTGATTTGTGATTTACAACTGTGCTTTTAACCCTTCGAGATAACAGAAAAACCTTTCAAGGGGTTAATTAAACATTGAATTCTAAATCCATAGTAAGGAAGTTAATAACTTTCGTCGTCATCATCATCAAAGTATCCAACTTTCTTTGGCGTGTAAGCATCTTTGAACTGGTCATCAAATAACTCCAAATCCCGCTGATCACGTAACACCCCCTGTAGAAAAAAACCAACAAGCACTCGGTAAATGACATTCACTTCTTGATGTTTGTTCCTCGAACAGTGTAACCGCTATATAAACAGAGGGGGTAAGGGGTAGCGAGCGGGATTCGCACGTCCGACTGAGCACAGAAAGACAACTAAAACAGAATAGGACACTTGCTTATTTGATTCAAAGACCATGCATCAACAATGAACCCATATTGAACATGATCGTCCGGGGGTGTGTATTCAGGAAAAAGACTGTTGCTGACAGTAACTGACGTTTTGATATTTACTCGGAGATATTAGTATTTTAGTGCTATCTTCAATTCGAGTATAAAATAAAGATTGTTGATTGATTGATCAGAGTCAAAGTGAGTTGTGGGCGGTCAATTGATGGTACTTAACCCTGGTTGTTGACCTAATTGGTCAGTTAACTCAGGATGTCATTTGTGGTTTGTTAGTTAAAATATTGGCTGTGAAGACTCTAAACATGAGCGATGATGTGCATCGTTGGGGTATATAAGTATTTCTAAAGCATGCGGAAAAATACGAGAGAAGTGCAAGGAGGTAGTATTTCTCTTAAATTTACGCAAATGTTATTATAATGTGGGCAGCTCGCTACCGCGGACACACCCACCTTAGGTAAAAAGCCCAGTAGATTGGCAGCGTGCTCCTTAAGCAGTCTCTGTCTTTCTTGTTCAATAATCTGTCGCCTGTATTCCTCCATTCTTTCTTGTTCACGGCGAGCCTCAAGTTCTGCTTCCTAAAAAGAATATTGAAACATGATAACCCCATTGTTCTTACGTTTACCACAAAAAAACTTCATGGAGGAAGGAAAGAGAATTTTCCTTCCGATATTGCAAATTAAAAAGGAGTGATCGTCTTCTAACCCTAACCCTAACCAAACCCTAACCCTAACCCTAACCCCTAACCCTAACCTTAAACCTAACCCTAACCTCTAACTCTAACCCTAACTTCTAACCCTAACTTCTAACTCTAACCCCAACTCTAACCCTAACCTCTAACCCTAACCTCTAACCCTAACCCTAACCTCTAACCCTAACCCCTAACCCTAACCCTAACTCTAACCCTAACCACTAACCCTAACCTCTAACCCTAGCCCTACCCCTAACCCTAACCCTAGATGTTAGGTTAGGGTTAGAGGTTAGGATTAGAGGATACGGTTAGGGTTGGGGTTAGGGTTAGAGGTTAGGGTTAAGGTTGGGGCTAGAGTTAGAAGTTAGGGTTAGAGTTAGAGGTTAGGGTTAGGTTTAAGGTTAGGGTTAGGGGTTAGGGTTAGGGTTAGGGTTAGAAGTTAGGGTTAGAGGTTAGGGTTAGGGTTAGAATTTAGGGTTAGAGGTTAGGGTTAGAGTCAGGGTTAGGGTTAGGGGTTAGGGCTAAGGTTAGGGTTAGGGTTTTGTTAGGGTTAGGGTTAGCGGTTAGAGTTAGGGTTAGGGTTAGAGGTAGGGCTAGGGTTAGAGGTTAGGTTTAGTGGTTAGGGTTAGGTTTAGAGATTAGGGTTCGGGTTGGGGTTACAGTTAGAAGGTTAGAGTCAGGGTTAGCGGTTAGAGTTAGGGTTAGGGTTTGAGGTTAGGGTTAGGGTTAGGGTTAAAGGTTAGGGTTAGGGTTAGGGTTAGAGGTTAGGGTTAGAGGTTAGGGTTAGGGTGAGGACAAATCGGCAAAAGTAGGCAGGTCAACCAAAGTATGTATATCAACAAAAGTTGGCAGGTCATTAAAAGTAGGCAAATCAACAAAAGTAGGCAGATCATCAAAAGTAGGCATATCATCCAAAGTAGGCTATTTTGCCACGCGCGTAATAATCCCGGGGGGCACTACTGAGAATTCTTTATAGGGTGTCCGCCCGGTTCTCAAAATCGGTTCTCTTATATACACCCTTACGATTTGTCAACGGAAGCGTCACTGAAAAACTGACTTCGCACCCTTTCAAACTTTTTTGCCTTTATTCGAACTCGATCAGTCTTTAATGAAAGTTGGTAAATTAATCGATGTTTGTATTCGTGCAGTGACGACAACGGAGTGAGTTGTAGTTTTGCAAACTAAACCTAACTGCGGTTATCCCGTATTTTTTTTTAAAGAAACAGCCTATGATTTGGGGTCAAAATTTTAAATTTCTTCTAAGTCAGTTTGTAGTCAAATTAGACCTGGAAATGACGTTTGGCAACGTTGTAGAGTGTTTGCAAGGTCATCTACTTTCAGCTTTTGACGGCGGCCATCTTTTGTTTTTTTCAGGAGGTTACAGTGGAACCTCGATATAACAGTCCTCGGTATAACGAACGATTTTTTTACCCCAGAAATAGTAAAATGTATGAAGAAGAACCTCGATACAACGAAACCTCGTTATAGCGAACAAATTTTGCCAGTCCGTTGGCCCTTCGTTATATCGAGGTTCTTTTTAATATGTTTTGCTATTACGGGGGTAAGAAAAAAAAACAGAGGTTCCACTGTATTATGATTTTGGGTCACTTCGTTCCCCGGTGTCAATAGCCTGCGTGACAGTAGTCCAGTTCTGGTCCGTTCCTCTCTGTCACGTAACACTGGCGTTGCGTGACTTATGGACTTTCGAAAAAGTCCTTCGTCCGATTTTGATGACTCGCAGGGGCGACTTGCGGCAAGTTTACGTGTCAGTTACTTTTCGGATCGGATGGAGACAAGCGACGACCGGAAATACGTCTATATCCGCAGGCTAGAGAAAGGGGGGCCAGAACTGGACTAGCGTGACAGGCGTTCGAAAGGGAAGTGGGAAAGGACCTCGGGCGCGCGAGCGTGCAAGGGGGAAGAGTGGAGTGCCTTCCCTTCACCTAGCGCGCGTGAACAACTCTTCCCCTTTTCATTTTGAATGCCTGCCATGTAGGCTTTGGGGTCAAGTACAGATCTAGCCGCTATCTAGTGTTGCTCTCGGTAGCCCCAAACTCGCCCTCGCGCTTGTAAATAGCCGATAGATTTATCCTGGAAAGTTGACATTCCCAATCTTTACTTTGGTTTGCAATATTAATTCCAGCAATTATTGCATTTTACCATTCGAATGCGAAAAAACATTTCGGAAAAGAAAAGAAAACCAATTACAAATTTCTTAACTTTACTACACAAGTATCTCAACAATTGTATTTACAAGTTAACACTGACCTAGTTTCTTAACCAGAAGAATCGATATCATTTTTATTTGACAGTCTCTCAAGGTAACTTAAAAAGGCTGGTCAAAAAGAAAAATTAAATTTCATTTGATCAACGAAAGGAGCCACAACTGATTTGTGATTTACAACTGTGCTTTTAACCCTTCGAGATAACAGAAAAACCTTTCAAGGGGTTAATTAAACATTGAATTCTAAATCCATAGTAAGGAAGTTAATAACTTTCGTCGTCATCATCATCAAAGTATCCAACTTTCTTTGGCGTGTAAGCATCTTTGAACTGGTCATTAAATAACTCCAAATCCCGCTGATCACGTAACACCCCCTGTAGAAAAAAACCAACAAGCACTCGGTAAATGACAATCACTTCTTGATGTTTGTTCCTCGAACAGTGTAACCGCTATATAAACGGAGGGGGTAAGGGGTAGCGAGCGGGATTCGCACGTCCGACTGAGCACAGAAAGACAACTAAAACAGAATAGGACACTTGCTTATTTGATTCAAAGACCATGCATCAACAATGAACCCATATTGAACATGATCGTCCGGGGGTGTGTATTCAGGAAAAAGACTGTTGCTGACAGTAACTGACGTTTTGATATTTACTCGGAGATATTAGTATTTTAGTGCTATCTTCAATTCGAGTATAAAATAAAGATTGTTGATTGATTGATCAGAGTCAAAGTGAGTTGTGGGCGGTCAATTGATGGTACTTAACCCTGGTTGTTGACCTAATTGGTCAGTTAACTCAGGATGTCATTTGTGGTTTGTTAGTTAAAATATTGGCTGTGAAGACTCTAAACATGAGCGATGATGTGCATCGTTGGGGTATATAAGTATTTCTAAAGCATGCGGAAAAATACGAGAGAAGTGCAAGGAGGTAGTATTTCTCTTAAATTTACGCAAATGTTATTATAATGTGGGCAGCTCGCTACCGCGGACACACCCACCTTAGGTAAAAAGCCCAGTAGATTGGCAGCGTGCTCCTTAAGCAGTCTCTGTCTTTCTTGTTCAATAATCTGTCGCCTGTATTCCTCCATTCTTTCTTGTTCACGGCGAGCCTCAAGTTCTGCTTCCTAAAAAGAATATTGAAACATGATAACCCCATTGTTCTTACGTTTACCACAAAAAAACTTCATGGAGGAAGGAAAGAGAATTTTCCTTCCGATATTGCAAATTAAAAAGGAGTGATCGGCCCACGAACAGTTCTTTTTTTTTTCTCAGCTGGTCTTTTCTTAGGTCTTCGGCCTTGGAGGATAACACCCCCTTTAATCTGCAGAATTCTTCATATCATACTCAGCCTCATCCAATAACTGACTACTAAAAAGATGTGATGGCGCCCACGAACAGCTCTTCCTTTTTCTTAGTCCGTCGAGTGTAAGTTTAAAAAAGGGTCTACCAAAGAAGATTTTCGTTACGCTACGGGGCTGCATGTAGTCTAACGGTTGACGGATCAGTGCTGCCTTACCCTCTCTCTCTGGAACTGAATCCTTCTGTCTTCAATCAGTTTTTCCACGGCCCTCTTATGCTCTAGCTGTTTCATTCGCCTCTTCTGTGCGTTCATCTGTTCGATGCGGTCGTCTTCGGCAAACTTTTCAAGCATCTAAAAGAAGAAGCATCAATGGTTAAACTAAACCGCTTGAAACGGGATCCAGGAGCAAAGTGTCTTAACCTTTTACGCCCCAACAGTGACCAACATCAATTTTCTCCTAACAATAACAAATATATAGGCCATTTCCCAGTTCCCCAGGGCCCCTGTATCAAAACGAGGTTAAGTGCTCAGCCTTTCATATGGAAATGATTTTTCATTCTCATGCAAATAAAACTCATTTTCACAACAAAGGTTGTGCGCTTGGCCTCATCTTGAAAGTGAGGGTCTTTGGAACTCGGAAGTGGCCTATTAATTGACCACCAAGGGGAAAGTGCTTTGATCTGTTAACAAATTCCCCCCAACTCATTCATTAAATATAAGGAAAAGTACGAAAGTCAGTCTGGACTATTTTTATGTGAATATTGGAGCTTGGAGAGTTAAACAAGGATTACATGGCAGTAACTGCCCTCACTTTTCTTCTAAACTCCTCCTCTTCTTCTAACTCTGCTTGCCGCTTCTGCTCCTTAAACTGGAGCTGCTGTCGGCGAGTTTCCTGTAAGTCCAACCGTTGACGAATTTTGTTCTCAATTGCCATCTGAAAAAAACAAGGGAAAAGTGTGTTTTAAAATAGATAACAAGCAAGCTCCTGGTTATGCTGAAGAATTCTAAAGGGACAGCCTAAGTATAATGAGTATCAAATTTTTCCTTGTAACATTAAAGAGTTTACGAGAATAAAGGACATGATCACAGACGATGCGGAAACTGTCTTGACGTTTTAACGTCTTTTCTCTACCACTCAAGGAGTTAACGATACGGAAGATGGAGGAAGAATTTTTATGCTAATGCTGTGGGTAAGAAAGAGCTGATCGACTAGCCCCGCTTCCTTTGTACGTCGAGCGGCAAGATAAAAACTGTACCCTGCAGAAAATTCTCCAAACTGAACGCATAAGCACAACATGAAAAAATGAATAAACTGCATAAGCACGGGGAATTATCGGAACGAAATCGTGCCCTAGCGAACGAGTATTTGATTTGAACCATTTTAACCGCGGCAGAATTAGCTCAGTCGGTAGAGCGCTTGACTGCAGAGCGGAATCGCGGGTTCGATTTTCGGTGCAGGAACAATACTCTGAGTCTAAAAAATAACTGAGAAATGAAGGTACTCCCTTTGTACTGCAGAGCGGCTGGACCTTCGCGTGCCTCGGATGACCACGTAAAAGGGCGGCCCCGTCTCAAGTTGGAGACATAAGAATAGTGTCCTGGCCCAATTAGTACTTTCGTGCTAAATACATTGACACTCAAATAAAGTGGATTTCATATTATTTATTTATTTTTACCTTTTCCTTTTGTCTTTCCAGTTCTTCTTGTTCTTCAAGATAAAGTTCAGTTCGTATTCTAAGAATAAAAAGAGACCAGTTTCAGAAACTATTCTCCGACCCAATGATGTGAAAAATGAAATCTCATAACCAGGGGCGTAGCCGGGATTTTTTTCAAAAAGTACGAACAAGTTTCCAAATCCCTCTTCCCCCATCCCACCACCTTCCCCTGCACAACAACGTTTTCACGCTTTACAGCGTTTTAATTTATTTGCTTATTNCCACGTAAAAGGGCGGCCCCGTCTCAAGTTGGAGACATAAGAATAGTGTCCCGGCCCAATTAGTACTTTCGTGCTAAATACATTGACACTCAAATAAAGTGGATTTCATATTATTTATTTATTTTTACCTTTTCCTTTTGTCTTTCCAGTTCTTCTTGTTCTTCAAGATAAAGTTCAGTTCGTATTCTAAGAATAAAAAAAGACCAGTTTCAGAAACTATTCTCCGACCCAATGATGTGAAAAATGAAATCTCATAACCAGGGGCGTAGCCGGGATTTTTTTCAAAAAGTACGAACAAGTTTCCAAATCCCTCTTCCCCCATCCCACCACCTTCCCCTGCACAACAACGTTTTCACGCTTTACAGCGTTTTAATTTATTTGCTTATTTTAGATAGTTCGCTTGTTATTGTATATTGTTATTTTTTTTTACCCCCGACTTTTTCAGGTACGCACATGCTTACCGTGCGTACAGGTAGCTACGCCACTGATAACTGCTTGCAACAAAAATGTCTCATATCAAAAACTTGTGCATGTTATATTGATCTGTGAACTGCACGATCATTACCTTTCCATCTCCTCTCTTGCTTCAGTCTCTTCTTGGATTTGTTTGGACAGCTAGAATCAAACACAGTGACTAATGTGAAACATTGAATATCTCTTTTAAATGCCACGAATGTGGAGCAAAGGTAGTCTGAGATGGAAGGGGTGACAGGCCGCACAATCTCTACCGGCGTGATACCATATGTAAACCTTTTATAATTTAGCTATAACGAGTAAATCCTTCAAGAATTTTTTTATAAGAAAATGGGTGGTTCCGTAAATTTTTGGCAAAGAAGAGGTTGATTTTGTATAAGGCGCCATTTTTTTTAGGAAAGCTCTGTTTTTCACTGATGGTTAACATTGTTTTACAAAAGACAAGATCTCTTTTTTTGCTAACCCAGAAAAGTGCAGCTAAATGCACAAAGGTTCAACACCAAAACTGACGGCCACGCCTGTCACAAATCCACTTTCTTTGTCTCGTATATGTATTATTCAGGGCAAGTATATCTTTTTCCCACAAAACTGTTCGATAATGTCTACCCTCTTTCTATACCAGTACTTTGGTACTGGAGAGTTGTTTCTTCGCAAATGTTGTCTAAAGGATATACTTTTGAATCGCAACTTCCAAAAGCCCCACGCATTTTGCGAGTTGGCAATTGCGAGTGTTAATTTCCCTTCAAGAGTTCATTACACGTACAGGAGATAACGAGGATGTACCTTGTGTTGCACGGCTGCCATGCCCTCTTCCAGTAATCTCTTCTTCTCCATTCTGTCCTCTTCCCGCTGTTGCTGTACTTTTGCAAACTCCAGAATTCGTTCATTCTCTTCCTCCATCAGTTTACGTTCATGCTCCTTCCACTGAAAGGTGAAATATAGACAACAACGGAATGAACCACTGAATACAAGACTGTCATCACGGTGCTCTACCAAGCAGTAAAAGATAATGATTATACAGTACTACTTTCATCATTATCATAATTATAATGATAATAAAATAAATTTTGTATAATGATATTGTTAATAGTTCGCTTCCAAATGTTTTCTTTATGTCGTTATTGCTTTTTCATAATTCTAATCACATTAAATACAAAATTTCGCTGAGACATATGGAGTTGCAGGACACATTACAATCAGGCTTGCCATTTAATGCCACTGTTATGACAAGAATTACACCATTAATCAATAATTATTATTAATAATGAAATTTTTGTCATTACAGCAGCATTATTATTAACAGTTTTGGATAACCAGTTACATGTAAGTCCTAGAGCTATTAAGCAATGTGGTCGTAGTTAACAATGGTAGTCTTTATACTAGAACCTAAATAAGCTAAGAAATACTTCAAGACAAGTAAAATTTTAAATTCTTCAAGCAAAAGAAAGCTTCACACCCACCCTCCTTTTTTTACCTCAGGTTTACTTCAGCCTATTTTCCTTCCCAACATAATTAAGATTGATTGACATGCTTCGCTCTTCTCAAAGCTTGGAAACCGCAAGTTCGCTAAGTCGGTTTTAAAGATGGTTTTCAAGTCACTTGAAACTTTCTTGAATCGTTTCAACTTTTTGACTTTAATGAGATGTAAAGTAAAGTAACTTGAGATTTTGCTTAGGCCTTCATTTTTGGTTAAGTAAAACTTAGCAGTTCTTAAGTCTTACTTAACAGCCTAGTGTAAAGACAACTAATAACTTTCTAGTAAATCGTTTGGTAATGAACTGTAGCATAACTAAAAAACTGCTAGCTCTGATCTGATCTTCACTTTGTTTGGCATAAATTTTTGCCTTCAAGCCATAAAAACTTTATTGAATTTCGGATGAGACAACTTTTAAAATTTTGCTTGCTAACAGAGGAGATAAGAGTTATAAACATACTACAGTCTGCACAACATCATGTCTGGGAATATTGGTAACTGACATTTTGGCTGGACTGACCATACGACAATCACACTCTTACTTATTGCAGTCTGTTCAAATTTGGTTCATCACCAAGATAAGCTAAACAACATATACAACTAAAAAGCGTATTACACAATTAATAGTGCTAATAGTGACCAACAACAACTTTCTCCTAACAATATCCATACATTGTGAAGAGATGAAGTTATGAGAATTAATAAAATGATCACCAAAGATAAAATGCCTTGATCTTTTATCAAATTCCCTCCTTTAATTCTTACAGAAAATGTATGGAGATCAGTTTGGAGAATTTGTATGTGGATATTGGGGCTCAAATTAAACTGAGTACCCACCTCATCTCGCTTAGTCTTGAATTCCTCTATGTACCTCTGAGTAGCCTTTTGCTTCTCAAGTCTGTGTTCAAGCTCTCTGAAGAATACAAACAGGCAGCAAATTTCTAAGCACAATTATCCATAAAACCAAGTCCTAATATGAAGTAAATCTTTAATAATGCTGATGGAAGGAGAAAATAAAAAAGCAATTGTTTTAATAATAAATATGCAAGTGAAAACATTTTGGTGGATTTTCTTTGCTGTCATCACACAACTAGCCTTGTCAACTTTGATCAGAATGGCAATGGGATCACGGCCTTAATATCTAAGATCACTTTTTTTTATAACAGTGATCATTTTGACTTCAACTTTAATAGTCGAAAATACTCATAAAGAGTCCCAAAAAGGAAAAGGCACAAGTGGGGCTCCTAGGTCCCATGTGAAGTGGTCTTTCTACCCACTCCCACAATACTTAACAGACAGGTGGGGTGATAACTGCTAGAGATTTTTCCATCCCTAGGGCTTCTTTTACACATCACATGTCAAGTCAGATCACAGAAGTCCTGTGAGATGAAGACTACAGTTTTTCATCCATATGAAAGAAGACTAGAATTTCTAACCATTTGCAGGTGTGAAACAAAACAGCACAGTTATTTCAAAACCCAGACAGGTATTGAACCCAGAGCTACCAAAGACTGGCGCTCAGCCCTGGATGAGCTACATTATACATGTAACCAGTCAGGAATTTACATGAGCACATACCTTTGATCTTCTTCATATATCTTGCGAACAATTTCATCAATCATGAGCTTTTCCTTCAGGAACTCCTCGTAAGCCTCCTGTTTTCTGCGCTCTTTCTCCAACAGTTGATTTTCAAGCTGCTCCTGATATCTGACACTCTCTTCCCACCGTTTGACCTCCTTCTCTCTCTCAACCTCAAGAGCTCGCTTGTATTCCTCTTCCATTTTGGCATTAATCTTGTCATCTACCCTCTACACACACAAAAAAAACAATATACCTGTATTTAGAGGCGGGGTGCTATTCTGCATGAGTACATCAGTGACTAATTTAAAATCAAGGGCTAAAGTGCAACCCTTCTGACATTAAAGGGTCTTTCATTAGGGACAGGCACCTTGGAAGATTATTATGAATGCAGATATCTACTTTCAGTACTTCCTGTGGTGTTGCACAAAGTAGTGTCTCTTCATGAACTGAGCTTCACTTTTACGCTTGCCTGATTAGTAAATTAATTTCTGACCTGTCTGTCTACTGCCATTGCCATCTTTTCTGCCAGTTGTGCTGCCCTTTCTTGATTCATGTAACCAGCTTTAAGTTTTGCCTCTAGCTCCCTCAATTCAACACTGTAAGGAAAAACAATTAAAGAAACTTTAAAGACTGAGGTGACGATATACCCCAAAATACAAATAAAAAGTTTACATCATCAAAACAACATTTAACATGCTGAAAGACCTATTCCAACGTTCAACATGACATGAACTGTTTAACACAAGTAGCAACGTTTGTTAATCAACCAATCATGAACCAGCATCATTAACTGGGCTGCCTCAAGGCACGGTCAAGTTCATGGGTAGTTTCCTCCATCTAAAAATGAACACTATCAATAAATTGTTATTAACCCAGTAACTCAGAGGGCGTTGAGTGATCCATAAAGCATGTTTGTCCATCTTTGCAGGGTCTGTTTAAAGATTGATTTCTTCCTGTCTAATGCAACACAAGCCTTTTCAGAGGTCTAAATTTTGGATTAGGATATAAAGAAGACTTGTCCAATGAAAACAGGAACTTTAAGAATTTCACACACAAGTTCATCTCATGGCCTCATTGGTGAGACGGCAAATAAGCGGCAAAGCTTCACCTGGAGCTTCAAATACCAACTTGAGAGAAATAGAGTACTAAGGCAAGTTACTTACTAGTACAAGGTTTGGTGACTTACAGTCCTAGAGCTTACAGTTGTTCTCAATGTGGCCTAGAGTTTTTGCTTTTGTTTGTATCTTTAAATTTGTGCATGATCGAGTGTTATACTTCTCCTAATTTCTGTGTCTCCACCAATTCAACAAGCACAACTGACGTTAGCACTGGCGAGTTTCGATAAACTTTGAAAGTTCACAGCTCGCTCAACATGCACACCTTTTTGTGTACACAACTGATATTTTACTGAAAGCGTTCTGAATACGAAGACTGTAAATATGAGGAGGTAAAGTATATGTAGGGTTTTTTAAAACTATTTAAAACTATATAAAGGTCATTTATCGCTTGAACAAAAAACAACATTTGAGTTTGTGTCATCAGCACTTTGTCCCAGACTCAAATGATGGTTAAAAAAATCTGTTATTGACCATTTTGATTTATTTACATTTTTTGAAGTATGTACCGATGGAAAAAAAACCTGTGAGTAATCTTTAAACTTTTCTAGGTTGAAGAAAGATAACAAATTAAAAGGAAAGAATCTTGGAACGTATGAATATTTTTATCTTGTGGCACAATGCGTTTTTGTGTCAACCATAAATTTTAGATTATTGTCTATTGATCATCTCTTTCAGTCTCGGTTGAATAAGGCCCGTGTATCTCGATGGGTTTTATAGTGGGTTGTTTTCTCCTAAAATCTGTTTGCTGTCTGTTCTGGTTAACTTATCGTTTTCTTGCAGTACAATAATTCTGTATAGTCTAGGTTGTCGTGAACAGGTTTCTGACAAATAAAGTGGATCACTCTCAATATGGCTGTCTACAGATTTGCTTTAATAAATTTAAGGTCACAGATTTCCTAGGTTCTCTCGCATTTCAATCTCTCACTCAACCTAAGTGATAATATTACATAATTACGAAAGTCTTCCACAAGGGTACAATGTTCAAATGAGTTTATGTTTCACTCTCACATAAGATTCTACACTGTATGTTATGCAATGGTCAGCAACAAGGTTTCATGGTAGCCTGTGTACAGCCGCCCTCTCCCCTCAGAAAAAAATCACCTCTTAGCAGCCCAGTTAAAGTTCCCTTCCAGCAATTCTAGTTGCCTTATGAAAAAAAGGCATAAATTGACCAAATATTTTCTGACTTTTCTGACCTGTTTTCTCTTATCTGCTGCTTGAGCTTTTCTTCTCTGCATCTTTCAAGTTTCACAAATTCAAGTTCCTATTAAAGAATCAATGATAGGTAAAAAGGGAATCAGAATCTTGCTAAACCTCCATTTTTGATTTACAGCTGTACATGTTGTGGTTCAAATATTTTATCCTGGGTTCCAATTTTATTATTATTATTATTTTATTTTACTTATTTTTTCATTTAAATCTATTATCATCCACTACCATACCTAAAGACAAAGGAAAACATACAGTGGAAGCTCTCATGAGCGGACAGGCTCAGGACGTGAAAAAGGAGTCTGTAACTGGAGCTGGCCGCTTATGAGAATATTGCTCATATGCAGTCACAAGAAGTGTTTGGGTCAAAGGGCTGCTTATGGGAGGTAGCCCAGCTACAAATAAACATGAGGCTTGTAAGCAACTTTTTGTTAGTGTTTAGCTATGCTGTTGTTGTGATGACAATGTAATTTATAGGCACAGGCATAAAATTCAGGTGGTCTTTTTTTAACTGTCACCAGGTGAGTATGTGAAAAAAAAACTCAAATTAATATAAATTAATAAATTGTGACGAACAGCGAGTTCAAAATATAACTTTCAGATTGATTTCGGTTGTGCGCTTACCGTAGTTTAAAAGCAAAGCCAAAACTGAACTTGTAAACCCTGACAGTGTCTGTGGCCACTCATGGGAATGTGTCCACCCAGTTACGGGAATGTGAAAATACAGAGTTTGTATAGGAGTTGAAACAGGGTGGCTGTAAGAAGAGCTGTTAATTAAAAGAGCTTTCACTTTAATTTAAAACAAATCGAACCACAACATACATGCATACGACATGCACTTCCTCTTTCAAATAATATTACCCGGTATATGCTTATTACCTAAATGATAACATAGCAATGCAAACCTTAACTAGCCAAATTATGATTTTAGTTACTTTAGCTTCTCTGTGAAAAGATTATTTGCTTTGAATAAAGGCTGATAAAAACTACAATTTGCTATTTTCATATACACCATAATGCATCTTGTTTACTCCCCAAAGTTTTGCATAGCCATTGTCTTCGATTTCTCTTGGGATAACTGTAATGCCCAGGAGAAATTGGAAATGATAGATGCAAAATTTTGTCAGGTAACCAAGGTGCATTATGGTCTATGTGAAAATGGTGAATAATTTCAAAACATAAACTTCACATCAATGAAAAATTGAAAATCACAAGATAAAATAAAACCTTGGCAAGTCTTTCCTCTTGCTCCTGTTGCCTCTGTTGGAGTTCTTTTTGTTCTTTTTGCTGTGAATAAAAAGTAGAATTTCACATTAATATGGTCTACAAATTTCCTAAGTGTGACTCCAAAACAAATGTCACCACGTTTAAACAGTTTTTATAGCATAAAGCTCAAGAGGTTAAGGTTCTGTGAAACTGTGGACAATATTATGCTGTGTCCTTTACAGGTTGCAGCCAAACTGGTTTTCCACAAAGAAAATACATGTTCAATAGGGCTGTCAAAAAGTTTTTAAGCAGCAGGCTGATAATGAATAGTAGGCGACTTTGGGACCCACACCAAAGGCACAAGTTCTTGAGGGCCTAGGCATCTGGGGATATTTTGAAATTTAGAGTCTCGGAAATGGAGTTTCAAGGGGTTTTCAAGGGATATTTTCCACCGCAGACACCATGTTGTTTCGTCAGAATACACGCAAGACTGGGAACGATGCCATCAAAATATCCCAGATGCTCCACTACATCACACAGCTTGAACGTTTCACAGATCTAAACCTGTTTAAATATGCATTCAATGTCATTCAAAACTGGGAAACGGATGCTTTACAATTTTGTTCGAAGGTGCTTATTTTATGTTAGCAGTTATGGTAGAGCTGGCTAAGGATGGCTATCAATGTATGTATCAAATGGTGTATTAAAAGCTACAGGGGTGCACCCTTCCCAATTCCCAAGAGCAGACATGTGCAGTACTCAAAATGAGGCAGGATAAATGCCTTGTATGTCCCCATAGTTTCAAATGAGATAGAGTGACCTGATCTTCTCAGTGCCACTGTCATTCCATACACCTTTCCCAACTGAAAAGAAATATGTTCCTTGAAAGCTAGCATTTTGTCCAGAGTTTAACTCCCAAAATCTTCTGGTGTACAGAAACAGGTATAGAAGTATCATTGATCCGGGAGGCGAAGTCACATTTGGAAGGACCAACGACCAGAGCTTACGTCTTGTCTGGGTTTGTTGTATGATAGTTTAGATTGAACCAGTCCGATCAACAGCTCAGGGCGTCAGTAGAGACGAATTCGAACAATGCCTCAAGCTGCTTATTGGACTGGTTCAAAAAGGAGCAAGGTATGGTTATTTGTATATTTATCTGTTTATACACTCAAATGGGGCTAAAACCCAGATTGGATTGGTTGTATTGGATTGGATTGGTGGGTAATTAAAGTGAATTGCCAGTCCAATCCCATTCGCGCAATCCAATCCAGGTTTTTGTACACAACCCTTGACTGGAGTGGTGTGGTACCGTCTTAATTCGAAACAAGATGGATTGACAGTACAGAAAGTGCATACCGTATACCCATCAATATGAGTACAAAACAAGTAGCAACGGTATGTTCAAATGTCATTTTACTTGTGATTATTCCCCTTTAAGCGTTTACCACTGCACTTAGCTTTTTATACTTTCCTCTTAATTAAGAAAATGGTCCATTAAAGGAGAATTATTTAGAAGTTTGTTGATGTAAGTTGATGTACAGCATATATATTGCACTTACACACTAAATGGACCACATGCATTATCTCATATTTTAGCTAATGCATTCATTTCTAGAATAATATCATAGGAACCTCACTTTTCTAATTGCTTCATCCATTTCTCGTTCGGTTTCTTCCTGACGACGTCTTCTTAGAAATCTTTTATTCTCTATCCTTTCTTCACTGGCCATGTTAGCTTCCAATGTTCGTTCCTGGTTGATTCGCTTTATTTGATCCTCTCGGGCGATCTCTTTTCTCCTGTTCTCAGCGAGAAGTTTCTGCTGCTGGGCATGGCCAAGGTTCATTCGACGCACAGAGGCCTGAAAGTGCATTGCAAAATCATCAAGTTCACATGTATCGTGAAAGAAGTAAGTCCTAATATCTGTAACGCCTTAACCTCCATGGTCGAAAAGAAGACAACTCGATCGATACTGATAAATTTAACGGATACTTGACCTAACTCACCATAATTGAAAATTTCAAAAGCTATAATACACTAAACACCGTGCAAATATTCCTACAAAGGTTTCTAAAACCACCGAAATCCACTTAAATACGGAAAATACAGGAGAGACTTTTGCACAGATCGTTCGCTCCGAGATTTTGTTTGTTGCTGTAACAACCATTTTAAGAGAGCCTCGCTTACATGCTCAATACCCCGCACTCGACCCAGTTCCTCAGCAGTTTTCGGTTCTGAAGTGACTGGACACCTGTTTACCCGCACTTTTGCGCGAAAACAATAGTTTTTCCACTTAAATAAAATTGTTGTCATGACGACTAAAGCGTCTCAGTGGGATTCTTTTCACGTCGAACTTGCAATGGAATGTCACGCGGGAAAGAAAATTCTTACGTCATGCAGAGTTACCTGTTGGTTGCTTCATGCAGCTGCGGGAGAATAGCAGAGGCCATTTTAATATTGTAGAAGGTTGTAATGCTTTCCATGTTGTTACACTGCACGTTACAAGCACCTCTGCACCTAAGGCACTAACACTGTCACTCAACTGAGCGAAACTCGCGCACAGCACTAGTGAGGTGCAATGGACTCCAAATCGACTTCTGATGACGAGGTTTGGAACAGTTATGCCACGCGATTTGGAGCGTATAGAGGTAGTAGGTAGTGAGTCCCCACACCCTAGCGACCGTAACATTGAAATTCTTTCCTTCCTAGGTTCGAACTCTGTTCGTTAGCGGATTGCCCATAGACGTAAAACCACGTGAAATCTACCTTCTTTTCCGCGGCTTCAAGGTACGATGCGCTTTCTTCGGTTCAGCTGTTGTGCCGCTGATATTTTCAACATCGGTTATAGCACGGCTGAAAATGCCGAGAAAGAAAGCATTAAATTTGAATGGGATTCTACTGGTCCCTGCCTTAGTTTGATTTTCTTAAACAAATCAGCTAAGACGAAATAACATTAAGTAAACTTATGTTACCGTTAAGTACAGTGTATGCGTCAGTCAATGTTTTGAAATCGCCTTGTTCGAGGTCGCAGGGTTCAATCTACGATTTGAAAGAAAGCCGAATGAATATTGAATAGCCTTCGTTACCCTTCGAAAAGCATTTATCAGATAACAAGAGTACACAAGTTTTGTACGAGCCATTAAGCTTTGAAATTTCCTCATTAGTGCACTAAGAGATAACTTTGACAAACTTCGTTTATTCGCGAAGTCAGTTACCCCAGATTTTGCCAAATATTTGCAAAGCGTCTCGAGCGGCCATTATAAAAGCGAAGAGATTTACAGTGTTAACCCAACTCATCTTATATGCAAACACAAAACAAAGAAGCGGCTTACGAGTTCTTCGTTAGTATTTACAGGAATGTACATGATCTGAAATTTCATGGCCGGTTGTGAAAAAGTAACGGAGTCAGTTTAAATTCAAGAATTTACATTTAGTATCAAGTGAAAACCGTTCGGAATTCTACATAGTTTATTGAATCGAAGCGTAATTATCACTTCGCTAGCTTATGATTCCTAGAGCAATTAAGGACAAGGCAAGCTAATTAGGTGTCCAGAAAGAATAGGCCGAAACTTATCTAAACAGTGTGTGGCTGGAATATTTGCATCAGATATTATTATTGACTATGGCCAACTTTAGATACATCTGCTTCAAATTCGCCTTTTTTCGCATCTTAACTGACTTTATTACCATTTTAGCGAACTATAAATTCATGTGTTTTAGTGCAAAATTTGTTTACACCTCACATAGGATCTGACATTGCTTTCAAGTTGTCAAAATATACTCTTAAACGTAAGACAATTCTTAGATAAGCCATTAGAAATACCATATACTAGTATTTGTAAACATTTGAAAAGAATTAATTCGTTCTTCGAATGTTTTCAAAAATAACCTGCAGCAAATTCACCACACGCTGAAAAGCGCACAATGTGCATGTCATAACTTATTTCAAAGAAAAAACACCATTTTTATAATCTTATGCTTGAAATCGTCTTAAAAACTAAGCCGTTTTTGTTTAACGGTAGATCTTTATTTTTCAGCGATCGACGAGATATCAAAATGAGTCTGAGAGCCAAAAGAGAATAATACAGTATTCGTTATCATTAAGGCGGACTTCCTGATTACCATAATTTGCTTCGTTTATAGCAATTTATTCTTCTTTTTTCAAACTCATGTAATTATTTCAACTGTAGTCCTCGACAAAAAATGCATTTATTATTTAGAGAGCAAAAATTAGTGTCTTAGCAGAGCATTCTGTCTTGTATTGCTGTCAAGTCTTGCAATCAATTGATTCTTTTTCGATGCTGTCCTCTTTGCATAAGAATGGTGAACAATTTGATACCAAAGGCAATATACAGCACTTTCAAGCTACGGTCTAATATAAAAACCACACACATCCCGCAAAACGATATCCGCGTTCGTAAATAAACTTCCCAGCATTTCAAGAGTGCTACAGAATAAGTATCTAAACTTTGACGTCTTTCAACAGACGCAATCGTTCATTTTTCTTGAGTATCGATATTCTTAACTTAAGTGATTCATCGACATTGCCAAAAACCAACCTGAAAGCTTTCAAGCGTTAATTATACTTTTTTTTAACACTTTTCACCCAAAGCTTAGAGTAGTTTTATTTTTTAGTGTGTGTGGTTAGAAAAGCTAACCCCGCTTGCTGTATCTGTCTCATCGTTTTAGGGTTACGAGGGATCCTTGTTGAAGCTCACGGATAAACAAGTAAGAAGAATACAATTACAGGGCATAAAAAGTAGTTACTCAGTTGAGTTAGTATTCATCCGTCTGTATCGTGTTCAAGGTACATTTTGAATTGACATAGAACATCCAACGAACCTGTGTTGCTGAAACCCCGCAAACCTTTAACCGCCGCTCGGTTTTTGTGGGATTATCTAAGACAACTAATCCATATCCCTGGTACGATATCTTTGGATGCAAGTTTCAATGATTTATACTGCCTTTACAAACAACAGACATAATTGCTCCGTGGATTCTTTTGTGCTGTAAAGTTGAAAATTAGTTTTCCTTATTTGGACCTTGCCCTCATAGAACAAATTATAGTTCAGTGCTTGGACGCCTTTATATCTTTTTTTATTCAAGCCTACGATAAATGAAACGGTTTTTTACACTCTCATATCATCCTCATGTCAGGCATAAACCACGGAATTATTGACATGACCAGCAGTTTTGCTGGTGATATATTCTCAAAAGTCGACGCTAATTGTCAGTCAGTTTCTTAGCGGGAAGTAATTAACTATATTAATCGACCCAATGACTTCACACAGCATGATTTTAGTGTTTTTCATGAGAATCTCTTAAGAGAAACATTCTCACTAAGCCAGGATGAAAACACAGTAAATAATTGTCCTTTAAAAAATAGTAAATTATTCTCATGGTGAAGTTAGCTGAATCGATTTTATTCCGAACAGCCTGCTAAGGTCATGGAGAAACTTATCGCGCAAGTTGGCAGTAATATATTACGAAAAATAACATTGTTAGGGATATTAAAAAAACTTTTACATAAAACTAAATTTTTCTTTTTCGTGCTAAATTAATACAGATATTAACGGGAAGACTGACTTAAAAGATTCATAGATAACGGTGATCTGTGTTTTTACTGCCATGCATGGAAAAACTTTTCTTTATAGCCATCTAAGTTACACAACAGAGCACAGAGGAAGCGAATTGTCCCTTACACAGCACGCACAGCACCTGTACTGAACTCGGCTACTAATGAAACTGTCCTTCCTTTTGTCTCTTTACCGCAGGGAAAAACGCAATCGGTGAGTATTACCTGCATTCCAAGGGCCCATTTATATGGAGAAAAGTTATCCCGGGTAAAAGGTCATTTGCCCACCTGAGCCACTCTCTGCGAGCCAACTTTCCTACATTTCCTTACGAAACTTAGGAAACCGTTTACGTGAGAAACAACGGAAAAAGTTGGCTCGGCTAGAAAGGTAACCCGCCTAGCCGAGTCACCCTTTTTCGATGATAGGGTCACTCCCCTATAGCCAGACCAACTTTTCTCAATATAAACACTTAACTTGGTCAAGAGGACAGAATCAGAGCATGCGCGAGTGCTGCTTTCAGGTCTTGGCTTATAAACTCACAGATACGGCAAACGGGTCAACGTTTTTCTCATAGTATACATTCGTTAAAGTTGACCGTCGGCTGGGATGATGACCTTCATTCCCTGTACAACACTTCATATAAATGGGGCCTAAGTAATTCTTTAAATAACTTAGGACCTTATCAGTCAATGTGAATAAATTGCGGTCTTTTATCATCGTAAGTGTTTTTTTTTTCTTGAATGCAACGGGAAAGTTCGAGATAGGACATAAGATTCACTTACACTCTTGGTGAATTTTTACCTTCAAGGGTCATCGAGTCATTGGGCCATTCCAGATCGTATGAAATAAATACATATGAACATATCATCATCATCATTTTCGTTATCATGTCACATTACCTTTATAACCATAACGCAATCACCCTCACGTCGCCAAAGACACCGTGCAGCATCGATCATATGACAAACCACAAAAGTACCAGAACACGTTCTTTTATCAGTTTAGAGGGAAATTACTCTAAGATTAAGATCAAAATGAGCGCATTTGTTTAACTGTTTTTAATTAACAGCTAAATCAACAATTCCATTTTCAGCCCGTAGCGTTTGTTACGTTTGAGAATAGAGAACAAGCTGAAGAGGCAAAAGCTTCATTGCAGGTAAAAAGTTTGTATGATGATTTCATTTAGCCGCTATCAAGTTAGTGCCAGAGGTAGTGGCTCTTCCGCTCGTCGATGAGGACAGGGTCTTGTTACATTTTCACAAAGTAAGATCAACAGTATTATAAAAAATGACCGCGCGCGCATCGCATGAAAGTCGGTTCTCATCACCTCTATGCAATAAGGTAATGATAACTATTTACAATGCCGGACAAGTATGAGCCAACAACAACAACAACAACAGTTTATTCAATTGTCAAATGAGTTAGGTCTATGTTACCCACAATTAGCGGAGCTATTCTAGGTGGACAACAATACAATAATAATTAGTTGAAATAGGGACTACCAAGAAATAAATTCCGCCAGCATTCAGTTCCGATACCACGAAACTCTGGCGGGGCTTAGCGCTCTAACTGCTTGGTTACGTTACCTACTAATGTTAGGCTGACTTAGCAACAGAATGGGAACGTCGGTTGACGACGGGAAAGCGCGCGGAAAGGACCAAACGCGACTTCCGGTGCCCAATTTGCCGATCTGCCGTTGGTCAAGCCAGTTGTTTGATTTGGGCGTGTCGTCGTCAGCTGGTGTTCCCGTCGTGATGCTAAATCAGCCTATTATTTACAGCATAACGGTAGCGTGAGAGAACAGGCGAAATTTCCCTACGCCTCCACTGCATGGTTTCCCCGCGAAACGGCGTCTGAGGAACAAGCGCAGAAATTCCATACTGATGATGCCTCACCACCCAGATGTGGGTAGTGCTTCTGATTGCTTGAGGGAAATATCCCTCACAACACGACCAATCAGAAGCACTACCCAGATCTGGGTAGCGACACGTCACCAGTGTGGAATTTCTGCAGTCGTTTCTCAGACGTTACATGTTTCGCGGATAAACCAGTGCAGTGCTGTGGTCGCGAAATATCGGCTGTTTTCTCACTGGCTAGCATAAAGGTTTTATTACTGTAGTTTTTGCTTTTTCCTTATATGACACATGTATGCATTTTCCAGGGTGTAAGATTCGATCCAGATGCCTCTCTTACATTGCGATTGGAGTTCGCTCGTTCGAATACCAAAGTATCCAAACCGGTGAACAAACAAGCCGTGTTGGCCCCACACTTCTTTCCCAGGGAGCCTCAGTTTAGTAAGTCCATTCAGAATTCTTTCATTCATTCATTATATTTCATGAAATGAAATAAAATCCTTTCATTCATTCATTCATTCATTCATTCATTCGCTCGTTCGTTCGTTCGTTCGTTCATTTACCAATACATTATTCTGTGATTCTTTCGTGTGTTTTAGTACCAGCAGATTTTGCAGCAGCTGGATTTTTTCCAACACCTCCAGAACCAAGCTTGGCGTACCCTGCGTAAGTGAAGCTAAAATAGTTATAATTTACATAAACCGTACAACTGAAAAAAAAATTACATGTTTCTTGAAACCTTATTTAAGTATTCTACGAGAGTCTCAATGGGGTTAACCGTCAGCCTTAAAAAGGCTTAAAATTTAACTGTCAAAGGTCAAAAATGCAGAGTAATATTAACCGTCAAAGCGTTTCACGGAATTTTAAATCTCACTATTTCAACTGATCTACCCGTACTTTTGGGTCCTGAAGAATCTCTGAACTGGAAAAACCGCGGGCCAAGTTTTCAAAAGCACTCTCTTTGAACATTTCAATACCTTGCAGCTTTCTTATATCTGAAAATATTTCGAAAATTTAATGTGAAAGGCCAAGGCAACCTCCAAAACGCAATTGTTGATATTTATTTATACATGCAGAAGCTGTTAATATTTCCTTTTTTCTCTTGGACTAAACTTTCACCAATAATAACCGTCAAGCGTCAAAATTGGAAAAAAATAACCGTTAACCGTCCAAGCTACCACCCCATTGAGACCCTCTTTTAAATACCTCTTCCAAAATCGGAACCGAAATTTGGGTAACCATTATTACTGAGAACATTATTGGAGCAACTCGCCTCGTCTCCATGAAGTACATACTACCACAAGTTAGCATTGGAGTAATACAGTTAAAGTTTAAAAAGTTGAGAATATCAGTAACTGCGAAATAATGTTTCAATGACAAAGATGACAAAGAGAAGCTCGTAGAAAAAAAAAAACGAGTTTTCCAACGCGGGGGTCGGGCCTGTGACCGTCTGCTTACTAATCCAGATTCTGCTACCACTGAGCTACAGGAGCCAGTTGCTTAAAAGAAAACTTGTGACGTGACTGAAACAAAGAGTCTGACCAGGATTAACGTCAGACGTTAGCATTTGAAAGACCTATAAATAACAACGAGCTCAACCAGGTCACTGCGTCCAGCGGTTTTAGTAAGAACAAGGGTTGGGGTGGGCTGCTCAGTCTCGCGGGCTCATAAAACCTGGTCTGGGTCGTTCTTATTGAAGGATTTTCTTTGCATTTACGCCCAATGAGGGGATTGATGCAACTGGTACTGGGAGAATCGCCGGAGCCAAAGTATACTTTTATGTCTAGCTATGTGTTTGGTGTTTCGTTCTAACTGACTCTCTTTGTCTCTTGATTAACAGCCCAATATTTAATGACATCATGGTAGCAGCGGCGACGGCGCATAATCCTTTTAATCACCATCCGACCATCATTCAACAGCTGCAGGTAAGTTACCAACATCACATAGGCAGACCTTCAAACTCTCACGGTTTGGGAAACAGCACTAATCCTAGGTACATTATGATAGGGAAAACTAAGTCTGTGAGAGAGATCTCGTGGCCATCTCTGTGTGGGCTCAACTTAGGGACGACGGCTTCCAACGTGGCGGCCCAATATGAGTCTATCCTGTCTTCTTTTTTTTCACTTTGTTCGTTCTTGATTTTTCCATAGGGTTTTCCCCAGCATCATCCTATAATTCCATTACCATCCCCAACAGCCCCTCTTGGAGATATGACAGGATATCTTCCTTGTACTACACTCTTCGTGGCCAACTTAGAAAAAGGATGCACTGAACAACAACTCCGAGAAATATTTGCAAGGTAAATCACAGGGAAAAGATTATATGAGGTTTACCACGACTGTAAAGTTTAGGGAAGAGACATGCCCATAATTTGATTTTTTTGACATATGACTTCAAGAAAATTCTTTATGTATTGGTCATTTCCAGAATGGCCCACCGCTTGCGAAATTTTGTCAGCATTTTAATACGGCCAAATGCCCCACTGCAGGTCAAAATGTTCAAAACCACGAGCCGCAATCGAGTGGTTTTATTTCCTGAAACGTTTGGAACATTTTGACGTCCGTTCTATGGTCGATAAGAGTACAGACCATGGAAATCAATTCATCAATTTTTTACAATAGCATTGACAGTTTTTGAAGTTCAATAACATTGAATTTCCTCGGAAAATCGCACACGCGAGAAAGCCTGAGAAAACACGGCACCATCAGTTCATTTCCATTTTCTGTACTCCACCAATCAGCGCGCCAGAATCATTCAGTTACTGTAAAAAAGTTCTTTCAGAGCCATCTTGGTTTATACTAAGGTTTTTTAACAGAGAAGGCAGGATACACAGTATGTTCATGAACTCCGTTGAGCCATTCGAAATTTGTTGCCATGCACTTATTTATTTTTTAACTACCTTTTCAGAACACATGGATTTCGACGCCTAAAAATTCACGATAAAGGATCTGGAAGCCCTGTCTGTTTTGTTGAATATCAGGTACATTCTTTACTTGCTTTCTTCCTACTGCACCGGTCTCAACCGGTATCTCAACTTAACTAAACACTTCTTGACATATTCGTGTGTGCATTGTACAGTGTAGCAACTATTTGAAATTGATAGAGATCTTCTGATGCTTAGGCTCACACAATCAACGCGAAAGCCTTTGAATTTTTGGTGGTGGAAATCAATAATCAACGGTGGCACCCACCTAAAAACAACAATAAAGCATGAGTAAAGCTTTCTGAAGCCATTTTAAGCATTTTGGGAGATTTCTGGGAAAAATTTAAATGTTCCCCACGGCCCACTTCCAGCAAGTCTGATGGAAGAGTTCCTAGTCAGCAAGATGCACCTACAACCTGCAACCTGACTTACTGGGAAGTTTCCTAGCAGACGTATGTCCAGACATTACTGCCTAGTTTGGGTGTGGTCATAGAACAACATTAAGCCCTTCGGTGAGGGAGGGGGGGGGGGAGTTGTCTATTGAGTGTTGTCACGGTAAGTTTAGAAGGCATCATTCAACAAGAGATCTTTATCGTGGGAGTTCTTTTTGACGTGGAAGTGTCCTTGGTTATTGGGTGAGTGGTGTGTTGGAGGAGAGGATGGGGTGTGAAAGGTTGATGGGAGGGAGGTGTGGCCAGGGTGGGGTTGTTGAGATGTTTCTGGCAAATAGCACATACTACCTTCAAATCCCCTCAGACACCCTGAATTGTCTATTTCCCAGCAACAATTTCCTTCCAAGGACATATTAATTTTCCCATATCTCCTGGCCAGCAAAAATTTGCCTGAGGAACAGATATTTTGAGCAGCAGATCCATTGGGTACCCGTGAGTCAACGAGGGGGTTTTGTTCATATCGGTTTTTCGCACAGTCTTGCTACCCTTGGGTCCCTTTTGTCTTTTCACGGTTATAAAACGCCGGAGTTCTGTTGCTCATTAAAATGCAAAGTGCATTCAACTTCTTGGGTTTGTTGACAAAATACTAAGGGAAACAATGTCTCTGTTGTAGGATATTCAATCGGCAGTCTTCGCGAAACATATTCTTACTGGGTAAGTAGCTCCGATGTGCTTTACATGTGCATGTAATGTTTTTCTCCTCTACAGAATGTAAGTTCTTTTCTGTGAACGCCATGTTCAGCCATTGTGTTTCAATCAGCTACAGAAAACAGCCGACATTTTAAGTCGCTACCACTGATTACCTGGCGAAATGACGTTAGAGGAAGGAGCTCAGAAATTCCATAGTGATGATGCTTCCCCCGGCCAAGTACTGGGCAGTGTTTTTGACCGGCTGAAGCAAATTTTCAACCAATCAAAAGCACTACCCCGATCTGGGTAGTGACGCGTCATCGGTATGGAATTTCTGCGCTCATTTCTCGGACGTCATTTCCCTGGGAAACCAGTGGTGGCGTCTACAAATGTCAGCTGTTTCCTCACGCCGTAGTGCTCGATGAGATCTTGCCAGTTAGACATCTCTCTTGAAATAGTCTTATTGTTATTTTACACTTTGTCAAATAAGATTTTACATCAGGCTCTCTTTGGTTTCACTTTAGTATGCAAATTTAGAATACAGAGTTTGTTTTCGAACAATGTAGACTACGAGTAGTCCCCCATTTTTCCTCAGAGATAGTAGAGCGAGCGAAACGCGAGCGCGAGTGAAAATCACCCCACGCGAGAAAAGGCGACAGGTGGCGCGGAGAGAGAACTCTCCCCGTCGCGTGTCGCCTTTTCTCGCGTGGGTTGATTTTCACGCGCGCTCGCCTTTTGCTCGCTCTACTATCCCTGAGGAAAAATGGGGGACTACTCGTAGTTTACGAACAACGCTGGTCAGTCCAACTCTCATACTTTTTTCACGCTATACAGGACAGCTTTTGTTGCCGACATACGGGATAATCGGATAGGGCCTCTGTTCACACATGAGAACGCTGATTTGGGCGCGATTTCTGCAACGGGGCGAAGCTGCTGCGCGCCGGTCTCTAAAGTGGAGAGTCACAATCGGATAGGCTTTCATACTATACTAGATAGATTTCGTGTCGGCAAGACAGGCTGTCCGTAGAGTGTAAACAGAGCCGAAGTATTTCATAAATTCTAATGACTTTCCATCTATTCCCTTTTTCTTAGCACAATTATGCCACCAGGAGAGAAGGCTGGTGGAATAAGAATCGAATTTGCCAAATCTAAAATGGGTGAATCGTGAATGCTGAGTCACGGACACGCCATATTTTATTGAGGTATAATATATTCACCGATATATTTGAATATTCTGAGAATAATATCTGGTTTCTACGTTAATTTATTAAGTATAATCCCCCTAGCTACATTTAAGATTTCTGCAAGGCAACCGTTGTAACGTCAGTAGCCAGGAACCATTAATTTCCATACTACATGGTCAGCAAGACGCTAGCTTTTCGTTTTTTTGTTTGTTTGTTGTTGTTTTTTGACTTGTTCAAAAACCAAATAGATACGTCAACCGTTTAAACAAAGTGACTCTTCAAGTAAAATTTGCTTTATTTTTCATCTAGTTTGCCAAGAAAAACTTGGTAAGGTAAATTACCGTTACTAAAAGGTGAAATCAGACTTTATTTGAATTCATATATTTTTATTTTTTAAATTGTAGGGGTTGGTTTCGGCAAGAGTGTATTGATGAAACAGTGAAACGCTGAGAAGTAATATATTTTCCAGTCACAAGCTGTTCAAAATTCAGAAGCTTTCAAGAACTCTGGTTTAAAAGAAAATATTTTGTACGAATGAAAAAAAGTCCAGTTTTCTTGCGTAAAGTGGACTAGAATTTTGGCCTTTTAAAAGTATAACTTTGAAAAGCGAAACTCAATCTTTTTACTTCGAAAAGCCATAGGATAAAAATGGTTTTTATAAAAATTCCAAAAATTGAAAATTTGATATAAGAAGCTAGTCTTTTTTCTTCTTGTCTTGTCCTCTCAAAAAAGTTCTTATGTTTTTCTTTTATTTTTCTTGAGCGGCTATTTTCTTACCGTGGTTAAGAAATATCAGAAATAAAAATCGATCTCGGAAGGTACAGTTTTTAAATTATTTGAAGGTGTGAGATTTTTTTCATCTATTTACAGGTTTCTGTGTAAGTTGTAAATATTGTTATTAATATTTTACATTAAAGTATTCAAAGAAACCATTGTTTTTGCATTGTTTATTTGTTCGCCCACGATCTTCCCTGCATGGCCGAATTAACCCGCTTTACGAGCCCCAGTTACTACACTTTTACCGACCAGTCGATTATGCCTATGAGATTGGTTGGTAACTTGGAAAAGCAATCAGCCTATGGCAAACAAAAAAGATTTGTTGAAAGCCGTGAAAAAACCGCATAATTTTGGTCTTGATGGCGTCAGCGTACGTCAGTACTTCTCCCCTTTTTCCAAATCTATATGAAACGTCATGACAACCTGCTGCTTTACAGCAAACTGAAGATAACTAGAAAGCAAAAATATATATATAAACTTTATTGCACCTGCCATATTACAAAGTTCTGGTGTCAAAGAAAAATAAAATTTGATTTTAACAAAGGCAATTTATTTCGTTCTTTTTTTAATTTAAAAAACTTTGCGCTGTGAATGCATTCTGTCTAGTATGGATGCTAAGTATTTGTAAGTCTTGCAAGGTCCAGAATCAGGCAATCAAAAAAGACTGCACACTTCACTACTTATACATCTCCTTGGGTCATTCAGAGAATATTAGACATATTATATTCGGCATAACTGATATCATGCCATTCCGCAAGTCCACAAATTCATTGTACATTTTACCCTCACCGGGAAATTGTCCTACTTCACAACTCATTCCCCCCCCCCCCCCCCCTGCGGGTTTTTGTCCCCCCCCCCGTTGGGGGGATCTTTGGGCCGGGTGTCGTCGGGTGCCCCCCCTCTTTCTGCCCCCCCCCCCACAACACACCCCCAGCCCCCCCGTCTCCCCCCCCCCTCCGCCCGCCCCCGCCGTGTGTGGCCTACCGCCCCCTCTCCCCGGCGTCGGCGTGTTACCTCTTTATTCGCCCCTTGTGGTCTTTAACAATAAATTGACTTAATATTTTTCCCAAATTCGTTTCCTCCGCCACCCCCGACTCCCACAATTCTTTTTACTTTTTCCCCCCCCCGGGAAATTTTCCCCTCCTCCCCCCCCCCCCCCCCCCCCCCCCCCCGTTGCTGGTTTGGTAGCCTGCGCAGTTGGCGGGAATCTTGTGCCAGTGGTACTCGGGTTCCCACCCTTCTTGCGGCTCCGCCGCCAAAACAATACAGCACTCCCACGCTATTCCCGCCAGCTACGCATGCAGGCTACTGGTTTGGCTTCACCGCTCGTTTTCTAGGCGTTGTCGAAGTTAGCCTGCGAGCAAGCTCTCCTATTTGGGTGAGTGAAGTGAGTCTGGCGAGAACGCACGAGCGAGCGGTGAAAGCTCACTTCGCTTGCCCAAAAAGGAGAGATTGCTCGCAGGCTATGTCGAACTCCATCTCGTCTCAGTCGCAAACTGACGCAACAGTTAAACCAATTTGGATCAAAAACCTTGATTTAAGAATTATTTTGAAAATTCAAGGGATATATTTGAATTTACAGGTTATATCTTGAAAATCAGACTAAATTTCTAGGGTGAAAATTGTGGGAGCTAAATAAATTATAAGAATGTAAACCTGAATTCGATCTCGTCTTGGCAACACAAAAGCTAGTCAAAAGTGGTGCATGTGTACTTAAATGGGCGCAGTGTCCTGATATTTCTGTTGTGGACCGATACAAATACTTGTGTTACGGTCGCTAAATCCGTTAAAAAGATGTTCGTGAAAAGCTTTGCCTTTCCTGACGACATCTACGCATAAATATTTTACTTCCTTCTATTTCTTCTTTCCTTTCTTTTATCTTCATATTATCGATGAAGTGTCACGAATACAGGTGAAGATCTAAGGTAATGAACATTACAACTGTCACCCTTTGAAGAATATTCAATTGTACTCATCTAAGATATCTTCAGCGCTGCTTACATCCCGCGAGCAGCGCTTTTGAGACATTGCGTCCGTTTTTTAACACACGGCTTGGAGACCTTTTTCTTCTGTTGGTCGATCGATCGATGACTTGAGGATTTTGTAGACACAATCAAGCAAACCTATACTGTCAGTTTAAACAACCTTTTTGGTGCCCCTTATATTTTTATATTCCCCGCAAATATATTCTTGATTTGAAGAACTGTTAGATAGGTTCTGACTGTAAAGATGGATTTCCACTACCTTTGATTTTCATATGCGAACGCTTGTAAATTTTACGCGCGTAAATAAAATAAAGACAATGTATGGATGGTTACGCTATACCTAAAATTTGAACCTTGCACAACTTTTGCGTTTTCGCGTAGCCTTTCATAAATTGCCTCTGCTTTCATCTACGCACGTAAACACGGAAATATTACGCGACAGTGGAAATCAAATCTGACAAATGATTTATAACTCGGGCGTCAGGGTTATGAAGGAAAGTTAAACACTCGTCAACGGTTTCCTGACGGTGCGAAACAGCTGCGGAGACCATACCTATCGTACTTTCTTTCCGTTTGCATGCAATATCCTATCAATGTTTTTTTATTAGTGGTGGCGAATTTAAGCATTGCTTTTACTGTTTTGAGTGGTTCCTTTCTCTCGAACTCTCTATTTTATTTATTAATCGTTTCCTTTTTGAAAGAGGAAAATTGTAGTTTTCACTGTGATATGTGGTCAGGCGGGGCTGAGAAATTTTACACATCCCTTCAAAATTATTTTTACCTGTATTAATTAACGGTGATGGTGCGAAAATTTTCAAAATCTAGCTCGATCTAGTCTCAGTCTGCATGCGGTTTATTTGAAATTCTCGTTGTTAGTTTTACCAGATATTGAAAAATATTTTGGAATATACGTCAAGACTTAGCGTTCCATTTGATATTTTAACACTGTCCTCGACACAGTGTTGAGGCTCCCGGACATGAGTTTGGTTTTTACTTCGTTTGATTTCATCAGTTTGCTACATGCCGATCAATCGTAACTCACAAGCTCAAAACCTTCCTATACCGAATAGCTTTTCTTGCCGACAAGAAAAGTATGAAAACCTATCCCATATATGACTCCCAACTTTAGAGATCGGTGTGGCTTCGCTCCATTACAGAAATGTCGCCGAATCACACTGTTATTAGCATGTGTGAACAGAAACCCTATCTGGAATGGTCTTCGTCCGGCGCAAAATCTATCCGATAGTGCGAACATGATCCAAACTTCTATTTAACTGAAAAAGCTAAGATTTTATGCTCCGAGCATTCAACTGACTATCTGACCTTGGGAAGAAGACAGTTATAAACACTGAATAAAAAGATGTGTATTAGGACGTATAAGGAGACAGTTTCAGACTGTTGTTTCAGATTAATCACTAGACAAATCATTGACGTTGATTAGGTTTGGTAGTTGAGATTTGTGAAAATTGTTGCGATCGATTTCCGTAATAAAAATATTGGAGTTATAGCTTTACTTAGATTTTAAGGAGGACAAATGCGCTAATTATTTCGACAATTTCATTATGAAATTACAGGTGAAAATCTTTATGAAGTCAAGATGATCTAGTTTGCGTGCCATAAATAAAACATCGGCGAAATTCTGTGAAATAAAAGTTAACATCATTACACCAGTGACTCAAGCTTATAAGCATTCTAGTGTTAATAGTGACCTCAATATTGTGAATCCTTTTAAAAATTAACGATGTTAAATCAATTGTCTGCAAAGAGCTTCAACGCAGAATTCCAAGTAATATTTTTTTATTAACATAAACATAATTAGGGAAAAATAGGTTTCAATTGCTTCTGTTGGTACTATACATCGTAATAAAATTTACCACGGTTGAGAGTCCGGCGTAGAATAACACAATTTTACAAAAGGAAAAACAACAGGAAGCCAATCTGTTTACCCAACAGAATTACAATTCCACAGATTATTTTCGTTACAAAGAAACTTTTTCCGTATAACGAGAGTCCTTATTATTTTTTTTCCTTTTTTATTTCTGCTCCAACATTACAAAGTCACAATGCTTCTGCAAATTATCATTTTATTTTTCCTGCTAAAGCAGTTGCTAGATATGATCATGATCTTCGCTTTGCCGCGGCTGAGATCAAGAACTAAAGCAAGTTGGGTGACCAATGCTTTATAAGGCAAAATTGGATTAACTTTAAGATACGTTTATGTTGCAAATGCATAATTGCAAATCAATGTAAATTACAGTAATCTTCACTTTTCTATGATTTTATCTTTGAAATGAGTTAAAATTTTGTGCTTTTTAAAGATACCTTAATTCAAAAACGCTTATCTAGATATATAAAGATGTAGAAACTATTATGCCATTTACAGAATCGGGCAAAAAAGTGTACCAACGTGCGTGAATTAGAATTACAGAGATGACGGTAGCGGGTCAATAAACTGGCAGTTGTGCCCAAAGCCTCTGTCCAACTGAAAAAATAATCTAAGCAATGCATATGTTAGATTTAGAGTAAAAACAAACTAAGCATTGTGTTATTTGCTACAAGGTTTTTGATATCTTATGGTTGCCTAGCTACGGTATTTATTTACACCGACATAGGACATGAAGTTTTGAGGTAAATCGCAATTTTATTTTTTAATTTGAGTGGAAAGGAAATTTGCAACTTAAAGAGTACTGAGTAGAATTTTCAAAGGGAAGAGTTCTTTAAATATTAAAACATAGGCGCGGCCGGTGTTAAGAATTTAAATTTTCTTCTTTCCAGCTGCCAAAACAACGGCATGGGGCTATCTTTTTAAGTTTGTAAATCATACAGGGTGGATTTGAATGCGCAAGTTTATTATGTTCCACTTTCATCTATCGTGATGGGAAAAATTGAGAAAGGTTCGAAAAACACTATTACCAGTTATTTTCCCATGACTTGCTATAACAACCCCCAAATTATGAACCAAAATAAACTAACGTTATGCAATAACAGGGAAAAATCAAATATTCGCGATAAAAAGTTACATTTGCATAATAAATGACCATTTTTTGCTTTGTTTTTTTTTTCCATTTCTGCCTCGGTGAGGCAATCGAAAAAAAGGATTATTCAATTTTGATTTTCCATACACCTCAAGCCAGAAGAGAGTGGAACAATGGAAAGTGTTTCTTTATGGAAAAAAAAAAATTGTCGAATCAATACATTTGTAAACGCGTTTTGCCGTGAAAAGCGATGCCAATGGAAACCGCGAAAAATTCTTAAGCGATTATTTGATGAGGCTTTTAAGGACACCACGATTGTCACTCACCTAAATTGACATCGCTCGCCGCTTTGTCTTCGGGATGTCCATGAATATATAAACGTCAATCGAATTTCGCAGCTAATAAGCAGTCAGTGTGAGATGTTGACATTGCAACCAAGGTGGTTTAAAGTGGTTCAGATTATATTAGCTAGGTCTGGGTGTCGTGTCATTGCTCCGATCCATGCGAATAATTTTGGGAGATAAGCGCGTTGTGAAGTCGAGAACTGAGATTGACTAACAGCACAAGCACCTGAAAGGGTGCGAGAGAAAAGTTCGAGAAATTCTCGAAACATGGAACCAATTTTCAGAAAGCTCTGGATCAAGTTGATCGTCGGCCGGTTAGGCAGATTATAGTATATTTTTCTACTGTTGATTGGGAAGGTACGCGAGAAATGGAAAAGGCATCTTCGACACCAAAGGACGACAACCCTTCGACACAATGCCAGAAATTCGAGGCTGAATCAACCAGGATAACAAAAAGGATCTTAAGGTCGGTGGACAAAGATTTGGTCGTGCCGAAAATGTCCTTTTTTTTCTTTTTCATGGCGACCGGCGCTTTCCTTCCGTATCTTGGTGTGTTTTACAAGCAGCTCTGGCTCTCTGCTCGTCAGTCTGGCATCCTGCTCGGTGTTCGTCCGTTTGTCAAGATGCTGTGTTCTCCTCTTTGGGGTATGGTTACCGACATATGCAACAGACCAAAGTTGATTCTTCTAATCTCTATTCTAGGAACTGCTGTGGCCCATTTCTCCCAGAGTATCGTGTCGCCATTTAATCTTCCATGTTACCCCGAGCCAAACAACGGTACGAACTTCAGCTTCAATGGCCATAATTTCCCACGAGGATATGCGGCGACCGATCGTTCCTCCCGTCGAAGTGGTTTTCCGGAAGCCGAAAGTGGTTCTCGAGATGGACAACCTGTTCTCACGAGTAGAGGAAAAATAAATATTTTACAAAGTTGGTCTAATGAGACCACAGCGTCCCAACTCTCAAGTGATGTGGAAAATATGGTGGATTCTGTTGATTATAACATGGAAAGGAAATTTCAAAAGGAATCAGATGAAGTTTACCACCCACTCAGTTCTCGAACAATTCGCGAGGTCGAAATAATCGAGGAAATCGAGCCCAAACATGAAGATAAGCCGCGGCAGTTGCCTGGTGAAAAGCAATCAAGAATATTGACAAAAAACAAAAGGCGCGAAAAGCTAAACATGAAAAATGACTTTCGCGTGAAAGATAACCAAACAATATTTATCACACTACTTGTGATCGTCTTTCTCGGCGAGTTCATCGCTGCACCGGCTCCCATGTTAACGGACAGTGGAACGCTTAGCATTCTGAGCGGACGCGAACACGAGTACGGCCGACAGAGACTTTTTGGTTCCATTGGATGGGGAATAGGGTCTCTCCTGTCCGGTGCAGTTGTCACCGCTTTCAACTCATGTCCATTCGAAGACAGTATTAACTATGTGCCATGCTTCTATGTCTTTGCCGCGTCGATGATTCTGGATTTCTTCGTGGGGCTTTTCTTCAGATTTCCATCTGCACCACCAAAACACGAGACAACCACCGAGAGCGAATTCTGGAGAGGAGTGAAGATCTTCTGGAACCTGAAAAACGGTGCATTTATTTTCACGCTGCTTTTCCTTGGCTTCTCCCACAGCCTCCAGTTATCGTTTCTGTTTTGGTTCCTTCAAGACATCGGTGGCACACCAATTCTCTTCACCCTAATCGTGGCCGTTAACTGCTTGTCCGAGGTGGTCATGTTTTTCATGGCAACCTACTTTGTGCAAAGGATTGGTCACGATGCCGTACTTTATACAGGCTTGATTTGCTATGGGCTGAGATTTCTGCTATACTCTTACCTGAAAGAGCCCTGGTGGGTTTTACCTTTAGAGGCTCTGCAAGGATTTACATACGGAGGCGTTTGGACAGCAAGTGTGGCATACGTCGGCCCACAACCAGGTAAGGCGTGGTTGGTTTTCCTATCAACACTCTATAGGCGCGATCCATTCAACCAAAATTTCCGGAAATTTCGGTCCAAAACTCGATGGATCAGTTCGGTCCAACCGGAAAAGTTTCGAAAAAACTAGTCCACCTTTTGAGGTGGTCCTCTTTTCCCGGTAGGACCGGTCTGAATTTTGGTTGAATGGATCGCGCCCTATAGTGCTATAGGTGTTTCTGATGAAAAGAAAGTCTCGAAGATCGCTATTGATGAAACGATCTTAGCGGTAATAGCGGCGATCGCATTGCCATTCCAATCAGGTTCAAGAACGTTAATGGGGCGATGACCGCAAAGAAATCTGCCAAAAAAACTGCTGCACGTTCAGAATTTTTAGTTTTGCATATTCAACCTTTTGCTTTCTATTTTCTTGTTTCCGTCGTTGCTGTCGCGGTTGAACGTGCTCGTTAGTAGCTTTACTATGCAAATCGATTCTTGATAAGCAACGGTTTCGTTGAAAACCAACGATTTGATGGAAAAAGAGCGACGAAAACGACGTCCGCAGGAACCCGTAGAGAGACTCATACTTGTAAAAAGTCAAGGCGAGCTGGACAGGGTTTATCCGACAACTACGAACTGGCCAATATTTCATTTACCAGCTCAGAAATGACGCCTCTTTTCTGATAGCTGCCGATCGAGATCTGCGATCTAAAACAAAATCTCACAGCTAAATGAAATGAACGGACAGTTAAGTTAACTGTTAACTGATAGTTGAGTCATCGCGAAATTTTTATTGATAACCATGGATTCCAGTACCACCATACAGACCCAGCTTGTCACCTTTGTGACTATAGAAATTCAACATAAATTTAAGGCATGGAAAACTAGTTTTCTTTTCTTTTTTTTTAATTCACAAAACGTTCTTATTTTTCGAAAGCTATTTCGTCCGAATAACATCAAAACCAGACTGAATCCAAATCCACTTTGGTTAAAAAATAGATTAAATTCCAATTAATCCAGAATCATAACCAGCCACTCAGATGAGGCTTGCATATGAAAAAACACTTATTAAAGCATTAGCGGTCACGTACATTTCTAAAAGAAAAATGTTTGTCTATAAAGGCCATTTTCTATAGTGAGGATCTGAACAAATAAACTCAAGCAGATGGATAAGTTCTAATGACTGATAATTTGTTCTCTTTGGCCTGGCTTTAACGTGCCCTTACAACTGGAATACTTTGAGAATATGACGAAAAACAGGTAGACGGTTGTATTTTATTAGGAATACAATTGTAATCATTAAAATGCGAATGTCGCCATTTTTAGCTGGCGAATCATGATGATAATTTGACTTCTTTTTATACCATTTTTTTAGTTATATATCCATTTTCATGCAATCAAAAACTTCAGTACATAATAAGTTTAATGCAGTACAAGCAGTCCGTTATAATTTTTTTCATTTTTCGAAAACTGATGTTCTCACCGACAACATGTTATTCTGTGCTTCACTTTATTATTCATTCAAAATGTTTCGCCGCCTCTGATTGGTTAAAATCCCCCGGCTAATCAATTCTTCATAACCAACTGTCCCTTACCATATTCGCAAGTTTGCCTGAAAACGAGGCTGCTTGGGCAACAGTGAACTTTAAAAGAATGGCATTCACGGAGACGAAATAGCTGAATTTCTGACTAAAACTGGGAGAAGAGGAATAAATGTTATCTACTTTTTAAGGAGTATCTCAAAGAAAAAACGTCTGCTTATATCCTGAAACCTTATATCCTGAATTAGGCCAAAGTTTTCGAAGAAATTTTACGAATAGGTAAGCTTGTTAAGAACTTAGAAATGTTTTGAATGAATAATATAACAAGTAGTGAATTCGGCTTTCGTATCATGCCAAGAATTATGCTGATCTCGGAGGCTGTAATCCACCTCGGCCAACATTCTCCTCGATCTGCATAGTTCTTCACATCACGGCTCAGCCTCATTCAATAATTGTTAAATAACTGGAATGAAAAGCAAAGTTATATATAAACGTACCGACGTACGTCTATGACTGGTTGCGTCGTATCCTGGCCGTTTTTATACTAAGGACGCATTGTCCGTCTAGGCGAACTTGGGCAAACATAGTAGTTGGTCTGGTTATGTGTCTCAAGTATAAAGACGGGCACAAGAGGCATTACGCGTCTGGATGAACTATCCTTCGAAATACGTCTTGAACGACGCACTACGAAAGGTAGTTCGTCTGGACACATAATGCGTCTTATGCCCGTCTTTATACCAGTGACGCATAACTAGACGAACAACAAAATGTTTGCCCAAGTTCGTTCAGACGTCCTTAGTATAAAAACGGGCAGTATGTACGTAATAATAGCCAACTCTGATTGTTTCCAGGTTCCGGAGCGACAATCCAAGGCATAATTCACGGAGTGTACTGGGGCCTAGGGATGGCAGTAGGAGGAGTACTGGGAGGAACAATGGTTCATGTAATGGGTGCACGAATGACATTTCGTCTTGAGTCGGTTTTATCATTTGTAATCCTTGTTCTGTTTTTCGCCGTCAACAACTTTTACGAGAAAAGCAATTGGTATTCGCAGATTCCATCTGAGCCTCAGGATCAGGAGACTGGGGGCGAGGAGAAGGATGAAGTGGATCATGAGAAATAATTATTGAACGAAAAAAGAAGTAATATTAATTTAGATTTTGAAATCAATCCGGTTAACAACACGCTATTGTGTTGAGGGAAAATTATTTTTTTCAATTTTTTTGGTGTAATCAGTAAGTGTACGTACTTGCAAGTAAATTATATTTATTGTGGATCGCAGGAGCCTTGCTCTTGGGATTGTTGACATTTATGGGTATGAACTGATAAGATTTTCTAGTCACGAAGTAACAAATTATTTTGGCAGAAATTAATTTATTTTCACCTCAGTTTTGATTGTAGAATTGTGAACCCGAGAAATTGATACAAAAAAAGTATTTGAGGGGCGAGGGGATAAGAAAACCAGTTAAAATTCGCGTGCTATATCTCTCGGCTGTCTATTCTCGTACCTAGATCTCCCACGGCCGAAAGGCAGAGTGAGATCTAGGTACGAGATTAGCAATGTCTGCGCGCCGTTTTGCAGGAGTGTTTCACAGTCTTGACAATTGTTTCCCGGGGACTGGGATGCTCGTCGTCTCACTCTGGTGTATAAATTGTTACATCTTTTTGTAAATTTTTGGTTTTGGGATCCGGAATCTTAGCTCTGGAATCCGGAATACGGCTCAAAGGATCTGGAATCCCAATGACGATTGGAATCCAGAATCTAAGTACCACTGACAAAGACTAGAATCCAGTAACTGGAATCTGGAATCCAAGGCTTGTAATCCAGAATCCAAGACTGTCTTGGATTCTCTTACTTGGGGCGAACAAATATAAATGTCTATAAATTGTAATGCTTTTAGGACTATGTTTGGTCAAGACAATATTCGCCCTTGGTTGCCATTTATGGCACGAGATTAGACCTGCCATTTATGAAAATATGTTGAGCTATAACATGCAACACTTCTTCATACCCGTTTGTGTCATTTGTGAACAATAAAAAATGGTAACGGGACTGAGTAATCAACTATGTATAAATAAAACGAGTGATTTAAAAAAAATCGAACCACTACCGCGTAGCGGGGAGTCCGATTTGTTTTTAAAATCACGAGTACGACTACAGACCGAATTGAACTACACGAAGTTCTGTTACCAATTAATCATAAATTATTAAATATGAGAAAAGTTAAGCCTTTTTGAAAATTTAGAACAAAACATCTTTTGAGAGTTTTTTGCTGGACGTGAGAAAAGAAGACCGAGAAAAACTAAAAAGAGAGCGCGCACTCTCAATGGCGCGCACTTTAATTACTTAGATCTAGTTAGGCATGACGCGTACTGTACTATTATATCTTTGGCTTACAAATGCTGCGTGAAATCAGGGCTGCTTATAGCCAATCAGTTTAAAGAATTTTATTATATTTATAATTTAAGGAGTTTTAGAGAAACGAAAGGCCTAGCTGACGTATGGATCGTGACTCAAGTATTAAAATTCCTTGTTCTCATATTCTACTTGACATTTTTTTAGTCAACTTCAGGTGCTCACATGGCGCCCCCGGCTTCTACTATCAGAAAATATAAAACAAAAGAAGCGAGGCTGATTTTACAGTTGGGAAAATACACCGCCATTTATCTACCGTCTTTCATATCCAAGACCCTTTGTTTGATATTCATGTAATGGTGAGCAGCGCAAGGTGGGGTGAGTGAGCAAAACAGCACTGAGATTTGACTGTACAGTCAACTCTCCCTAAGACGGACACCTGTGGGACCAGTGCTATGTGTCCGTCTTAGAGAGAATTCCGTCTTATAGAGAGTCAAATAAGGGGAGTAAAGAAAAGCATGCACCAACTCTAGGTGTCCGTTTTACAGAGGTGTCCGTCTTATAGAGGTGTCCGTTAAGAAAGAGTTGACTGTATACCTTATTGAAGACCCCCTCGCCCCTCCTTCCCCTATTTCTCTCTCGAGTCACCCATTTCCCCAAGCTCCTCGAGAATTGCGCCGGTTTACAGCGAACGGCAAACGTAAGTTAGTACCACGTGACCATTTTTTCCCCTCTGCTCAAGACAAAAATAAGCAGTTTCATCTCAGCTTTATCCATAAAAATTATTTTAAGCTTGTTTTCTAATTTTAGAAATTTTCAACCGGAATCTCGCGTTTTCTGTAAACACTCCGAGTCTTAAGGTGGTTTAGTACCGTAACGTAATTTTTACGTGCGTACACAAGCGAATTTTACGCGCGCAAATAACAGAGAGGCGATGTATGGAGAGTATTGCGTAAACGTAAATGTTGAACCTCAGTCAACTTTAACGTTTATGCACGTCTTTCACACATTGCCTTTTTTTTAACGCGCGTAAAATTTACGTGTGTACGCACGTAAAAATTGCGCAACAGTGGAAATCCACCCCAGGAGACTATAAGGGGACAGAGAGGGCATCCCTCATATACACCCTATTCCATAGGTAATTCGTCTCGAGTTATTTTTAGAATCGGGATAAAGTTACCTCGCGCGAGGCGTGGATGTTTCGTGGAGGTTTCGCATGACCAAACGCCGTGCAAAACATGTCGAGCGAGAGGCAATGAAAGCGTAAAAAGATCGAGAGCATTCCTGAATATTGAAGCGAAATGAGTCGGCGCTCACCTGGGAAAAAGGAATCGCTGGACTCTTTAACAACCTGGAAATCAGTTTAACTCGAAGTTGTCGTAACCTCGATGCTTTAATAAAATGAGAAATTTCGCCGGTCTATTGAAACCGGTCGTTTGTACAATTTAGGGAGTTTAAGATCACTGGACGCGGACGACAACTAGAACGTCAAAAAAACAATAGGTTTAATTAGCAAAACAACAACTTCGCACGTGCAACACACTTTTTTGTTCATTTCTTTCCCGTTTTTGCACGACTGCGACTATGGAGGACGTAAATAAGCAACGACGAAATTTTATTTCTCTTTCTGAGCTTGAATATGGTCCCTTGAAATTCAGCTTTAGGAGGGTTCGCCTACAATTGACAAAGTAAGTAGGTACTGGGTAGGAATAATCGCTATTAAGACTGAAAAAAATAAACATCAAACCAGAAATTGCTCTCTTCATACTGTAAATTATAAATGATCCTGAGAGAATATTCAGTGTATTAAGGATTTTCCTGCTCTACTGCTCTAGGGCGATTCTTTTTTAATTTCGGTTTCGCTGACACNCCCCCCCGCCCCCCCCCCCCCCCCCCCCTGCTCCACCAGGCTACTGCGAAGCGTTTAATCGCCTTGTCAGTCCCGGCAGTCCCGGGGGTGGGGCATTTACAAATTTTGTGCTGACCGGGGGTTGGGCATTTGCCAAACCCAGGGCCGTTCCTGAGCTTTTGACACGCACGCGGTTTCCTATCAGAATAATATATAGATTTAGCCAGGGCTAAAAGCGAAGCTGTGGTTATAATACCTGTAAACAAAAACAAATTAACTCGTGTAATGCTAAACGGGGACGACAATGAAAATGGCTTCAAGACTAATAGATCTAATTAGCAAATAAACAAATTGCATGTGCAGCACACTTTTTCTTCTAATTAGCAAGAAACAAATTTGCACGCTTTTTGTCTTCCCTTGCCGTTGTTTTGCATGACTACAACGCTGTTTTGTACGACTAAAACGTAAAACTTCCTAGTTGCACATTATTTTTATGGAGGAATTGCCTTATGTACTTACCCAATCTTTTTTTGCCTGTGTTCATGTTCGCTTTTGTTTTTCAGGGCCGCTCATTTTCACCTTGCTGTCCGCTAGCAATTCTCATTTTCTCACCGCCGCTTTGAATTTCCATGTTTTTCTTCCTACGAAATTCGTCTCCCTTGTTTTCAATAACTCGCTCTAGCTCTTTCTCTGTTATCCACGTTACTGTAAACATAAAAAATAACGCCGAAAAAGACACGACTTTGTTGTTGTTTTTTCTTTCTAAAAGTCCAGGCGGCCATGTGATTTCCTTCCAAATAAAACCTTGAGTTGCATTTGGGCTGCTATACATGTTGATTGAGTTATTTTACATTTGTATGCCTGTGGTGCAGACGAACAGTTGGGCGGGCGGGCGGTCGGGCGGTCGGTGTACGGTCACGTGATTACCAAATTTCCTCAGATGGGTAGATTACCACATTTCCTTAGCTATGGGGCCCCGGCCACGCGCCAGGGGGTGGAGCTCCGCTATAACTACACAGAGGATTTTACTGGAAAAGAAAAAGCAGATTGGTTCATCTGTCAAGGATAGGAAAAAACAGTGAAGAGGGTTGTAAAGGCATGTTCTTGATTTTATGCATGCATTTCTTCATTGCTTATCAAGCCAGAATTACAAAGCGAAATCGGGAGCTATCGACGTGAATGAACGTTTTTTGGTTATTGAATCAAATTTCTGTTGATATTATTTGAAAAACATCCTTTCATATTTATAAAACTATTCATAACTGATACAACTTTACAGCACTCTATTAATTTTAATGTCAGTCAATACTAAAATGATAAACTGGTGCAAGTCGTTGCGGCGTGGTCTTAATTAGAATCAAAGGGTTATTACAAAGGAAGACGTTAATTGAACAAAAAAATTGCACATTTAAATGCTTAAAACGGCACTATTCGACTGTGCGATCAATGAAAAATGTTGCAGTGTTGACGGAGGACGGGGCATTTGCCCTCTTTTTTCGTCCCCACCCCGAGGAATTCGACAGCTCAAGAGTCCCCATCCCCAGGAATTTGTCATCTAAGGCAAAATAAATGCTAATTTCCGGGGGTCAACCAGGGGGGGGGGGGGCGCTCTGGGCGCAGCTGGAATTGACTGATGCATACAGTCGACTCCCGATAACTCGAACGCTCGCTAACTCGAACCTCGCGCTAACTCGAACCAAAATCGATTTCCCCTGGATTTCTGTCATACATTCACTGTAATTTTACCCTCGGCAACTCGAATTCCCGCTAGCTCGAACAAGTTTTTCGTTTCTCCTCAGGTCGTGTTCTATATAATTTTATTCTCGATAACTCGAATTAAGTTTTGAGCCCTTAAAAAGTCGGGAAAACAGCCGTCTACTAGCGTCCGAAACATTAAATTTTGGATTTCCTATTAAGGTGTTGTACGAGTATAGTTTACTAGTGGAGGCTGATGTTGATTGTCACAGGCTAACGTGAAGCAGCTTTACTTCTCAAAACAGTAAAACGCATGCTCTATTTAGGCTATGTTTTAAATTTGTTACTTTACGTTCTGATTTATAATGTAGAAGTATCTTGTAATTTTCACTTGTCATTTCTACAATTAAATGTGGTTAAAATGTTGACTGTGCAGTAAAAACTGTTTTTTGCCTTACTCTCGGCTATCCTTCTTCGTGCTCCCGATAACTCGAACTTTTTCCGATTTCCTTTGAAGGTTCGAGTTATAGGGAGTCACTGTAGTTAAGGTCTCGCTATTATTTGATGCGAATCGAAATCTTGGTATCCATCTTTCCAAAACCCTGGTTGAATTTCTCTTTTAAGGTGAGCATTTATTGCAGGACTTGTAGGGATAGTATATTTTTCAGGGAGAGATGAAGTGATTAAAAAGAACGGAGTAAATTGTTTCTGAGCTTGATTTTACGACGTTCTTGTTTTTCTTTGAAATTTTACGCTTGAGCAAACTTTCTCTTTAACAAACCACCACTGCCGTTTTTGCTTCCCTCTATCGTGATACTACTTTTGTACATCTGGCTTAACTGCCTAAGAATTACTAGTTTTTTCCCAGCTTCTCACTCTCTACTTAATCCGCTACGTATTCATTTATTAGCCTTTGTGCCAAGGGCCTCTAAGCGCAGATCCCACTTTGTGGCTTCGCTCTTTTGTAGTTCATATCATGCCGTACATACTTTTAATACGAGGATATCCAATGCGATTCGATGAAAAAGATTGATAAAGCCCTCTCGCATAATATACTATAAACCATATACACACGTGTATACATTTAGCAGCTCATTTTTAACCAAGAAGCAGAACATTTTCGAAAATCTACCACTTTAAGGCAGTCTAATTATTTGCATTTGCTGTTTGTCAGCTTATGCATTATGAAAAATGCCCTAAGGTGCTTTACACATTCCACTCCAATGGATCTGGGAGATTCTAAGTATAAAAGCTGTTACTGATACTTGGTGAAGAAGAAAATAATCTTGTATAATAGAACAACACAGTGTTAGTTAATTCTGGCTGAAAATAATAGCCGGGAGCAGCCTTATTAGAAAACAGATTTTGGCGCATGCTTTGCTAAATCAACAACCAATAATAAAATAAACTACGCACACTATTTTAAAAGACAAAGCAAAATTCCATTTCGTGTTTCTCTTTGGCATTGATTTATGTGTACCAGCCTGCTTCCTGAGTGCAATAACCTGTCACATAAAAATAAAAATAAAAAAAACCTGAATAAAAAAATAATTAACTTGCTTATCCAAGCTCACCACTTTGCTTGGAGGGTTCATGCCCCACCTAAGCGAGTTACCTCACCAACCTGAGGTCCCCCACCTCCATGTAATTAGGCCCTTGGTGATTGATAAATACTCTTCTATAAAATGAGACGATAAAACTTCTCGCTCCTTTTTTCTTTTGATTCTCTCCAGTACTCAGCTTAAGCAAAAGTAGCGTCATGTGCGCAGTTCAAAGAGTTTCGGCGCAAGCTAAAATCTCCCAGACACTAAAAGAGAAGAGATATCCTATCAAAAACTGCTAGAAACGCGCGCATGAAAGATCAGTTTTAAAGTCGAGAGTTGTTTAAAACGTATGCGTTTTATCTGTTTATATAATTACATTATGAAGAAACTGTCAGTATTTATATTTTTGATGTAAATAGAATATTTTAATTTCCCAGAAAATGGGGCTTATCCCAAGGGTCTGGAAAATGAAATAAAATCTGAGTAAGACTTCAAGTCTCTGTGTTAACGAATCACACAAATTTAGGCTGTGATAAAAAAATACGTGATCAAAGTAGAGCGTACTAGAGACATAATTTATGCAAAATCTATACAAAGCGCATTATCTTTGCGGTTGACTGCCCTCTGAATGCTATTACCATATTATGTTACGATGGGCGATGAATTACAACTTTATTCACGCATATAAATGACATTATAGCCTATGTGGAGAGACTATTTGTATCCAGTTTACTAATATGACTTGCGGGTTTCCAAATATTATCGGCTAAAATTGGCCATGGCTTGTGGAGACAATGATTCCTAGTTCATACGAACCAATAGGATCAGACTCCCCCATCGAAAACGGCGAAAATGTGGACGGCGAAGGAGACGATGCCTCACAACAATCGAAATGGCGGAAAGCCATTCAGAAGCTTCGCCAAGTAGACAAGAGTTTCTTCGTGTCAAAGGCTTTCTATTTCTTCTTCTACACAGCCTTGGGGTCCCTGTTTCCATTCTTTAGCCTGTTCTACAAGCAGTTATGGCTAACTCCCGGACAAATTGGTCTTTTGCTTGCTTTGAGACCTGCTGTAAAGCTCGTCTGCCTGCCTTTGTGGAAAATGGTAACAGACAGGTTTAGCAGACCGAAAGTGGTGTATTTTATTTCGATTCTAGGATGGACTATTGGTTATTTCGGACAGTCATTAGTTTACCCAACAAATTTGCCATGCTATGGGTATCAATCACTCCACTCCACGACTTCAAGTCCAAATATCTCAATTTCAAATTCAAGCGTCGTATCCGTAAACAACATTACAACAAGGTCACTTCTTCAAGACTCGCACCCTTCGGAATCTTTACAAAAATGGGATCCTAGAAATTATCGTCCCTTAAGCCGGAAAGAGAGAGACCAGGGATATCTCTTAGACAATGCTCAATCAACAAATTTAATAAATAATTTTGCAAGGGCGCCAACTTTACTGTTGAATGAGCCCACAAAGAACAAAGGAATATATGCAAATTTGAAAGGAAAAACAGGTAGACTTAATGAGCCAAGTGAAACCTATTCTCGCTCTCTTAAAGAAGGGAAAAACATAGAGGGAGTTACAGACGCCGATTCGCAGGAAAATGACCACGAAGTCGAACGAGAAATTAAGGCAGATACCGCGACAAGTGGAATAGTTGAGAGGAAGAAAGATGATGTCATAAAGGTGTATGAAAAAATGGGCTCTTTGATCCCAAGCCCCAAGGAATATGACGACTTCCGAATAAAGTTTAACACTTGGATTTTTCGATGTCTGATCTTAATTGTGATTTTGACAGAAATAATTACAACGCCAACTCCCATGCTAGCGGACATTGCCATTGTTCAATCTCTGGTTGAAACAAAAAGCGAGTATGGAAAACAACGATTGTTTGGTTCACTTGGTCTGAGTCTCGCCGCCATTCTTGTTGCTGTGTGGGTGTCTTTAAACACTGACTGTCTCTTCACAGACACAATTGACTATATACCGTGTTTCTATTTGTTCGAGATCGCCATTGGCGCTACGGTTCTGGTATCTCTTTTCGTCAAGTTTGACCGACCTGATAGTGAGGCAAGTAATGGCTACGAATTCCTGGACGCGATGAAGTTGTTCAAGAACTTCAAAAACGGCGTGTTCCTTGTCACGTTATTTGCGTTTGGCTTCTTTCACAGTCTCCACTATGCATTTCTGTTTTGGTATCTCCAGGATCTCGGGGGAACTCCGGTCCTATTCAGTATCATTTTGTTGATCTATTGCCTGGCTGAAGTGATGATGTATTTTGTGTCTGGGTACGTGGTGGAAGCCATTGGTCAACAGGGAATGATCTGTTTAGCCTTCGCCTGTTACACCGCTAGATACCTCATGTATTCCTACCTGAGGGATCCTTGGCTAGTGATACCAATGGAAATGGTTCAAGGCATCACATACGGAGGGGTGTGGTCGATCGCTGCTGTTTACGTGAATGCACCTCCAGGTCAGTGATCAAGATCTGAATTCTCTATATTATATCACTACTTTAATCAAACCTGAAGATGACGAGAATTATGGCAATGATCAACAATGCAAAATGTCTTGATATTTTGAACAAATTCTGCGCACCCAGATTACAACGAAGTTCGCTCTACCTTCTCCACTCCACCAAGTTTGTGATATCGTTCTACTGTATCTTTTCAAAATTTTTGACAACTTTGATGTGTTTCGTACAATGCAGAAACAATCAGAATCCAAAGTAGTAGTATTCTGCCAGCGAAAATAAGCAATTTTGTCTTTCACTCAGTAATACCGTATAATTTTCACGACGATACCTGGTGTCTTGTTCGATTTGAGCTTATTTCCTTTTTTGAGGAGAATTGAGCCTCTTGGGTTTTGTTTAACTTAAAGACACGCCATGAGTTTATTATCTTTCTGGTCTTCAAAAGTTGACGAAATTGATAGCCTGTATTGTAATTGAAGAGAATACGCTTTTGTAATATAATTCAAGTAAAGAGTAATCTGTATTTGTGTTTCGCTTATAGCGAACCTCAGTTCAGTATAACATCTATCCTGTTAAAGTTCTAAAAAAAATTCTGAAAGACACAATGGAACCTTCACTAACGGCCACTGTAAAGTCGCGAATCGAGCTCAATAAACGGTTACATTATGCGCCCTTAGGGACGGACCATTAGAAAACTTATGGTATGTGGGGGAGGGGGGTATGTTGCGAAATACAAAAATAATATTCGCGCAAGGGAAAATTTAATGAAAAAAAATTCATGCACGCCAATTAATCCTAAAAAATATTCATGCTATGGCCTAAAAAAAATTCATACAAGGAATTTGATAACGAAAAAAAATTCCTACTGCTCGAAAATTCCCCTCCCTCCATGACTTTTCTAATGGTCCGTCCCTTAGTTCCGTTAATAGTCCTCCTACTAGTCCAAATGATGCAAATCAAGTCCCCGTTTGCTTCGAGTTTTGCTCATTTCGTATCTAATTATCCTACATTAAGTCCCTTGAGACCAGACACTACAGTCACCTCTCTACAACGGCCATTTTTTGGAGGCGGATAGTCCATACATTCACTCTTGTTTCGACTTCTTTACAACGGCTATCTCTCTACAATAGCCATTTTCTTCTGTCCCCAAGTGGCCATTGTAAAGAGGTTTAACAGTATCACAAACTTGAAACTCCGTGAGAAAGGTTTGTAAAACAGAGCTGGAAAAAGGGACAGAAGACGTAAATGCGAAGTGACTTTGGGTTTATATATACTATGGAAAGAAGCTTCAACAAATCAACAATTCCGGTTTGTCTTCCTTCCATTTCCCATCTCCCAGATAGTTAGGTTTCCAGTTCGCCACGACCGCTGAACAAAACCTTCGAAGAAGCTTGTTTACGATGTTAGCCTGCTTCTGAAGTGAATTTACAGGTATTCACAGATTCCAGCGAGAAGAATAACTGTTTAGAACTCTGCCTATTAAGTTTTGATTTTAAATACGAAAGTGAATATTTACTGAAACGTGTTTCTACCTCCTTTTTCCTAACGTTTGTTGTTTTGTCTTAACCCTATAGAGGCCTCACATATGGTTCAAAGTATTTTGCACGGTAGCTACTGGGGGCTTGGAATGGCACTGGGCCCAGGGATCAGCGGCGTTATTATCGGTGTTGTGGGGGCCCCAACGCTTTTCCTTATATCCGCAGGAATCTGTTTCTTGCTTTGCATGTTTCACTTAGGAATTGATATCCACAACAAAATGAACTTTTTAGAAGAAGAACAAGAACACAGACTTCGGGTTCAACGCGGAGAGACGATCATAAAACAGCCCAAGAAGAAGGAGAGGGAAAGCGATTTCATCGGGGCAGCGGCCGCTCCTCTTGTGCCATGCCTTCTCTACGCAAGATAAACTTTGCTGTATAACCAATAGCATACAAGTATGATCTATAACATCAAACCAAATGTGTCAAAGTTTATTCAGTTGTTTTGTTGAGTCATTTTTAGTTAGAAAAAGAGATTCTAGAAGACATGTAGTTCTAATGGCCCAGTTTCACACTTCAAACGTGAAGGCTGGCGATTTTATAGCTTTTAGTTTCATTCATAGAGTAGCCAGTTTGCTGCAATTTGCCTCTCACCACTTATAGAGTGAACAACTTCACATGCAAATAAGGACGAACAAACAAATTGGACTTATGTTGTTTCGTTGTTAACAATAATATTGAAATTCATTTTCCGTATAAAAGGGTGTGGAAAGTCTGTCTAAGTCATTAATAATTTTTATTTTTATATTTCTAAGTTTGTAGTGGCCAGAATATGATTATCAAAGAACTTAAGTCTACATAATGGTGAATATCCTTCATGTCTTGCAAATTACAATTACCGTACCGCTATAAAGGACATCAGTATTGGATAAAAAGCGCCTAATATACAAGTATTTATTTTGAGGTTCCCAGCAGGGAATATGGACAACATAAAGTAAAATATCTTTTTCCATAAAATAAAAATGACGTTTAAAGTTATACAGATAGCACAACGAGCGAAGGTCAGTTAACAAAAAATAAAAATTCCATTTACCTTTGCAGAGGGTCCCCTGTAGGATTCTTCAATCCCGTAATCCCGACCCGAAATTTCGTGCTATCCCTTAATTCCGATGGTTGTTTTTGGCATCCCAAATCTCGCGTAAACTTCCAATCCCGAATCCCGCCCCGATTTTGCTTTAAAATCCCGAATCCAGAGCCCGAAAAAAGGGAAATCCCAAATCCCGAAAAACCTATTGACTACCCTTTGCAATTACTTGCCTCTTCTTTTCTGTCTCTCTGGTTTTTTGTTACTACATATCGATATACAGAACTAAAAATCGGAGTTGTTCCAGATTCCCCTGTGTAAAATATTAAGGCTCAATATAAAATCTGTTAGAATCATGATCTTTTCTGACTTCAAAATACATGATGTATGCTGTCAATAGTAAAATTAATGACGATTTCAGGTGACCTTTGTCACAACTCTGTACGACAAAACGACAAGTGAGAATCACCACTTTATTACTTATTATTAACTATCCTGGGTGACAAATTACGCTCCCCTATATTGAGAACTCCACAAGTTTAAACTACATTTTAAAATTCACAATTTTCTGAATTTTTCGACAAGAATACTCGTGAGAATCTTTCTTGCTGTTAACAAATTTTCCTTTTTCGTGTGTTTACGTTGTCTACAACGTCGTTTAATGCCCTGACATTTTAATTCGCAACGTAACCTTGAGGCCATCATGTCAATTAAATGATTCGGAACGTTGCCATGGAAATTCTCTCATTTCATATCGGTGTAAAATTATGTATTGTGAACTCGCGCTAAAAACAACGATTAATTTATCACCCCTAATATTAAAACCATAACTTCCGATTTTAATGGCGCATATCTCACAGTCTTTAGTTTGATAAACCTTAAGAATACAGCGATGCGGTATTCTTTCCAAATCCCACGTGTTATGATCCGGCACACAACTCATTCTTTAATGAAAGCGAAACTAACAATTAGAGGTATTAAGAGCGATGCAACGGCCAGTGTTTGTAGTTTGCTTCCAGTCCCCTTCGGTGAAGCAAGGGTCCACTCGAAACTGTGCGCCTCGCTGATGCTCAGTGAGAGTTCTGTAATTTTCAAAACCTGTCAATGAGGGAGAACTAAATAAAACCACTTTACTCGTTGATCTAAGACCTACTCTATTCAAGCATTGCACGTCCAAGGCCGTGGCGCATCCAGAAGGATTGGCCACGACCCCTGTAATATATCCGTTAGACCAGAGAATCTTTTAAGCTCTTAACTAACAGCCATGGAACTGAACCCCGAAAAGTCGCAAACAACTTCTCATAGCTTTTAAAGTAAAACTTGCGTTGCAACTGGACGTTGCCTTGCAACCATGGGACATGATCAATTTGATGAAATCTGGACAAAGTTATTTAAGCACTCAAGACAAGAGAAGGCAATTTCAAAGCTGGGTCTTTCCTGAGTAGAATATCTCTAATGTGCAGTGCGTATCAAGACAGTGTGGGTCTTAACATGGGTCTAATTTATGACCGCATAGAAGGATGGGAAGTAATGGTTTCTATAGTGTGCCCTCTCCCCACCCCCTGACAAAAATTACTGAATCAGGCCCCTGTAAAAAAAAAAAACACCAAGATGTAAAACTTCAACAATCGCTGCTAACGACATCAATTGAACATTTAAAAATGGTTTGTTCTTGTAAAATTAGTTTGCAGCATATCTCAGCACTTCTATTTTCGCGACAGAGCTCTGGTTTGCAATGCATTCTGGACGTGATTAAACGCGTTCCAATGAATGCGTTTTGATAAAGTTCATAGCTGCTTAACCCTTTAAGTCCCAATATCCATATATTATAATTCCAGACTGATCTTGGAGAAATAAGTTGGGAGAACTGGATAAAAGATCAACGCATTTTGCCCTCTGTGATCAGTTTATTAATTCTCATTATCTTTTTTCTTGATGACGTTTTGATATTGTTAAGAGAAAGTTAATGTGGACCACTCTTAGGACTAAAAGGGTTTAAAAAAGAGACGAATATCGCTTACCTTGTTGTCTTTATCGAAGCTTGATTTTGTTTTCATATCTTTGCCATCGATATTCAGCGACTCGATTCCTTCAGTATCAAGTCCATACACTGATACAAAGCCAAAGTTGGGAAGATTTGAGTCTGTGTATCCCTTCTTCACAACAGAGAACTTTAGTCCAGACTAAAAGGATAACAATCGAACTAAGTAAAATACAATAGCTCTGAAACCGACACTAAGAGCCGAAATATTGTGCTTTATCGGCTCCTGGCTTAATGAAGGGATAATAATTAATGGGAAAGAGAGGGAAACGCCCAGTCTAGCTCTTAGGATATGTGAATTTCACCAAAGTTATTTTTAGAAAAATTAAAGGCCTGAATTAATCGGAAGTTGGTTAATAGGAAGTTGGTTTTGGCAAAAGACCGCAAACTTTTATTCAGTGTTCTCAAGAGAGAATTCAACAGTCGCCATTACAATATTCTGCACTGTTTTCTTTGAGGCAGTCGCGCGTGCACTTGATGACATTTCAAACAATCGATCAAACACTGCGAACGTCCGAGGAATTAGACTTCCGTTTAAGTACAAGCCTAAAAATAACTTAAGTGAAATTCACATAACCAGGCCAATGCCCTAAGATTTCCTCTGTCTCAGTTTTCTCTCTGAGCTTTATTTTATCGTAGATAACAGAAAAAAGGAATCATTTTTCAGCGCAATAGTAACCGACAGAAATGAGAAGGGGAATAAATAACATACGTTTGGACATATATTGTCGACAGAAGTCGTGGCAAGTAATTGAATCCGTCCTCACCTCATCACTGGAAAACTGGACGAGCAGATATTTCTCATTTTCCACGGTGTCTAAGGAAAAAAAAGTAATTAATGCAGATGGCTAAATGGCAGCACCCATTTGTCTGACTTTAGCAGGGGGGCCGAATACTTTGAACATTAGACCACGGGTCGATATGAGAGAAAAAAACGTTTGACTTCTCTTGGTATAATCTCACATACACACGTCCTGTTTGGTTACTTAACAGGGCGGGATCAAGAGATCGCAAGCGACACGGAACACTGATACACTGCTCTTTACCAATAACCAACTGCAAGAGCCATAATTATGGCTCTTGCCAACTGATAATAGTTTGTTATGCCACCTTATTATCATATAGAGATCTGCTTGAAAAAAAAAAGGGGATCTTGCGTATCAGCTTACCAATGGACTCTCCATCATCCCAGAAGAGTTCTCCCTCAGCTTTTTTATTATCTCCAAGAGCAACAATCAGACCCATCGGTTTCTTACGGCTGCAACAAAAATGAAAGTCAGTTTTTAATTCGAGACACCCCTTTACAGCCTACTTTGGAATTAAAAAAGCTTCTTAACTAAGGTCTGCAGAACTCTTTTCTCACCTCAGTGTATTTAAGTCAAGTGTTACTTGTGTCTCTTCAACTCTTTTATGAGTTTGTTTCAGTGCTCATGGTTTTAAAATTTACCTGAATACAGTGTTATTGGCAGGTTCCTGAATGGGAAGAATGTAACCACCGCGTATATGAAGAGGTATGTGATCAAGAGGAGCGTCCACTGACACATATTTTTTACGGCTGCTCACCTCTTTACCCTGTGGAAACACTGCCGTTAGGAATGTAGAGGTCTTTCGTTGGAAATGGATACTAATTTGTGGGATAAGCTGACGCAGCCATTCCTCCTCCGACTCCCTGCAGTCTTGTGTCGTCAAACAGTTCCCCTGACTTGAACAGAATGGACCTTTTTTTTTTCAACTATGGCCAACTATGTGCATAGTACACCCTAGCATCTGAGTGAAAGTGAGGCTGAGGTTGACCTTGTTTTGATACAAACCTCCTTCCTTTTCTTAAGAAAATCATTCTTTAAAAAAAAAAATTAGTCAGCATAATAGCAACATGATTTACATAATAACGCTAGAAACTCGTCAGCGCCCGGCTTAATCTCCTCAGTATGGTCTTCTCATTATTATGAAAAGGGAGCCACAAAACCACAACATCAGGCCAACGACTAGTATTTCAGTATAACTTAAAAGAGATAATTAAGAAAAAAGAGGAATATTGAAACAGGATGCGTTTATATTGTCTTATGTTTTTTTAACTTTTCGGCTTTTCTGCAAGTACTTACTGTGTAATAATCGTACCAACGAGCTTCTGGAAAATATACCTCCACGCTAGTTTTGCCCTAAACAAAAAGAGGGTGGCAAATTATCACCTACATTTCAATAAAAAAGAGAAACTCGGATGCAAGTAAAAGAAAAGAAAATAAGACATAAAATAGACACCTTTAGATTCGAGGACGAGATCTGATAAAATATGCACCGCCTTAAACCTCCATTGTGCTTTTTCCCCAAAAAATTAGCACGGTTGTTTTTAATGACAGATGTTTTAAAAGCCTTCTCCCAAGCACAAAAGGATGAAACCTCTAACATTTGATAACTTGTTTCCGCCACTACGACATACTCTCATAGTTAGTAGAGGGGACTTTCGCGGTAGCGAAGTAGAATGACGAGGGCTATCCCAGATTTCCCGCCAAAATGACGGCTGGTTCACGCGCTTATACTACTTCGTATTCAGAAAATCTCGTTCTCGGAAACCTAGCCTCTCCGTCTTTCAAATAAATTTGCAGGGATTAGTATGAACTTGAGCTGAATTACAACTATGAACTATACCTCATCCAAAACAGGTGAAATAAGCAAAATTGATCCCCAGAGGAACTGTCGGTCGATGTCCCACGTAGTTTTATCTTCTGGGAATCTGACGAACGATAGATATATTTCATTAAATCATAAAACTCTCAGTTCTCTTCTAACAGTCACCTTTATAAGCCTGGCACCTCCCTACAACAGACGCTTACGATTGGTTTCCGCTGTCCATGCCGTCATTTGTGGACAAAACAAAAATCCTGGTGACCATCCAAATGAAACCTCTTTGCAGGCATATTTTCACATCGTAATGTTTTTTTTAGTATTTGACGAAATGACATCTTTTTTGGCTAATTAGGGGAAATATTATATTGGCAGTAAGACTACTTACTCATGCATCAGAGATCGGACCACTGTGGATCCATACACCTTTGCTTCGTAGAACAGCGTGTACAGAAAAGGTATTAGCCAATAGCGTGTATGCAGCACCTTGCGGGCCTTGCTTACAAATTCATCCCCAAATGCCGTTGGATCTTGTGCCTAGAAAGGATTATTTCCGCGTCTTTAGTTGTTAGATAAGGCAAGTGATCAAAAGCAGCAGATAATAAAACAAATGGCAAGGAGTTGATCTAGTCTGAGAAAACAGCCAACTTTTCGCACCGCTAAATTCTATTCACCTGATGGCGTGCCATTACCCAGATCTGGGTAGTGCTTCTGATTGGTTGAAAATTTACTTCATCAATTTAACAGCACTACCCAGACCTGAGTGGTGACGAGTTTCGAGGGTCGATTGAATCTTGCCTTACCTCATATCCAAACCCATTGTGGTTTCTGAAGAAAGGGTAAAATGCCCCAAGCTGAGTCCATCGAAGGCACATTTCACTGGTAGGATGGTTAAAGTATCCACAGACGTCTGCTCCAACCTATTTTAAGGACGAGAATACTGAATACCTTATTCAATCGAATAAGCGTAACGGCGTTTGATCCTTTTGACACAAATGTGGCGCTTATTTGAGAGCGGGTTTTAATTGAAAGTTAAACGTGACAAAGAATTGTTTTTCACCGGTATTATCATTTTCAGTAAGTAACAGAAACGTCTTCTGGTTATGATTGCATCGGAGCAGTGCCTCTTACTAACTTTTTTTGTCCCAAATGCGACGCTTTTTAGAGGGCGGTCCTTAATCAAGTAAATACGGTATATGAAGTGAGGGTTTAAACCAAGCGGGCGTGCTAACAAGGATTTCACTCGACGAAAGCAAAGAGGAATATCGTTTGTCTCACAATATAGTAGCCGCGAGCACAATAGAGCCTGCTGACTCTAATCTATGACTGCATGTAAAAAGGAGAGGCAATCACCATAAATCAATGTTTCTACTGCATTTAAACTTTACCTACCTCAGCGCTTTGTGTTTTGTTATTTGCAAGGCCAACGAGAGGTCTAACAAGACTCAGAACGTCCTTTGTGAGACAGATCTGCTTTGAGTTTTCTTTCATGCGGACTTCTTCTTAATACAAAAGTCTTCATACACGGCTCCGATGTTTAATTTCTCTTCCCTTTTTCTGAGTTACACCTATGCCACCCTTTCATGTTAAATAACTCAGGCAGACCTTGGATTTTCGGGGAAATCAGACATAGCCCATAGAAGACTAACAGTAAACACGCGAAAAGTGGCGACTTACACCTCAAGTGACTTTCAAGTGCCTTACTTACGTAGGGAACTCCAAAGAGATTGAATTCAAGCATCCCTACAAAATGGAAAAAATGGTTGAATTAGAACCAGAGGCAAGAGTCAGGCAAGTTTAGAAAGTAAAACTTTGCAGCACACATACATGACACTATGTCACTCACCGATGATTGACGCATATAGCTGATCCCATGAGGCATTGTTATCTCCCAGCCAGTGCCCTGCATATTTTCCACTGCTGGGAAAAGTTGACCTTGAAATCACAAGACTGCGTTTTCCTGTACTTTTCCTGGCCGCTCTAAAACAACAATGTTGGTACTCAATTAGTTGTCAGAAAATTGGATGGTAAAAAATCCTTCACCGTTTCCTCGCTTTCTAACCCCATCTGGGTCCTATCAAGAACGGAATTTTGTCACATATTTAAGGCCTGGTTACTTGGTATGCTTAAAAAGGGCGACCCTCGAGTATATCCTCCGCTAAGTATACATTCTAAAGTAAGAGTTCCTTGAAAAACATTTAATTGAGGAAATATTTCAGATACAGAGGGTCCAGCTCTTTGCTGTATGGTCAATATGGTCAAATATACTAAAACACAGTAAAAAACTTTTTGTTCAACTTGTAACATGAAAGATAAAGCCCAGTACAATCTGTAGTAGGTCTGCTTATCACCGACAGCGAAACTGTCCTAACAATACATCGACTCATAGAACAAATTACACGTAAAATAAAATCGACCACAGAACATCAAGCTACACTAGAAACTTACTCAAGTGTAACTCGTGACTGACTCCAGCCATACAGGCTGTGTACATTATAATGTAAATTATCTGTCTGCCGCACGTTCATACAAACAGTCTTCTCTGCCATGATGTTTCCAATGATTCCTGAATAGATGCAAAGAAGAGAGATGTGTTACCCATCTGAGTAAAACGCGGGCAAACATTTACCTTTACCGTCTAACATAAAGAGGAACACATGATGTATGATGTTAATATTTGTACGCTCTGTTATGGTAACTCCAACGCCATTCAACACAAACTGCAAAAGAAACTCCTGGCCTTTTTGACACAATATTCTTCTCGTGTTCGTCTTTATGCTATAGAAGGGCTTCGAGGATGATAACTAGATGATGAATGAAGGTTTCTCAGAAGTTTAAAAAACATATCCAGCACAAATTCGCCCATGCATTTGGCGAAGTTACATGTAAACGATCTAGGCAAGTAAGGTAGAATAAGGTGGGTGGGTGGGTGTATGGGTGGGTAAGTAAGTGAGTGGGTAGTGGATAGGTAGGAGGTAGGTAGATAGGGTAGTTAGGTAAGTAGGGGCACACTGAAGCAAGATAAGGCTCAAACGGCCAAGATCTTATTACGGTTTCTGCAACTTGATTTTTTCAGCAGTATTACTAGCCTCTTACCACTCCCACCTAAATAGTAGGTTATTTCATCGCGGGGTATCTTTAGGCTTTTATTCAGTTCTGTATCGACGGTAGCGATTTATGTACAACTTGGGTCTGGAATCAAGAAGCGAGTTAATCACCGCCTACAATACTCAGGATACATATCTTAACGCCCAGGAGTTGTTCGTCAGTATGATCTCTGGGTGGAAAGCTACAGTGTCAGGAAAACGTTCTCCAGTTCTTAGCAAGAAAATACAGGAAAGCTCAAACCCCACCACCAGAAGCTGAAGCTTGATGCGTTGAGCCTAATACAACCTAGTCTCCACTCTTGATAAGAGCGGCAACCCCTTGAAGAGCTTATAGCATGATTACTTTGAAAAGCTTTCTAGGTTTTAGCTCTAGTTGTTGATTTCTCCCAAGTGTTCGATTACTCGCATGAAAGCATCAATACTCACTTGGTTTATAAGGAGGATAGTCCCACTTGTTTTTACTACAGCCGTTTACTCTTCCCTTCACAAAGTTGGCTGGCTCGTTCATGTCCTTGGAGAAAGTAGCTTAGTTTAGTGTTTTAGGGAAACTAATTCTTAGGCGATTTAGCAATAAATAAAATTGCCATGCTTCTAAACGCAAATAAAAGCAGGTTGAAAAGGTTCAGTTTGGAAGGCTGATTAGCGCTAACCCGGTGTTAAAAATGAATTCAAATCCCGATTACTTTTTCCTTTATTTAAAAGCATTTTCCCGGTAAATTTCGCTCTCTAATTTCTCTCGAGTATCCTCTTATAGTGGAACTTTCTTCTTAAGCTCTCATATCTGAATTCACATCTCGCAGTAGCCCTGGGTTATCTTTCCCCAGCTTTTTTAACAACCCGGCCCAGGTCTCGTAAGATCGACTAGGAGATCAAAAAACAGTAAGTGTTGCACTTACAATCCACAGGCCATCAAACTCGATTGTTTTGTAGAAGTCTTGAATAAGATTACCCCAATAGGTGCTGATGTTTGGGTGGAAAAAGTCTAGAAATGTAGCATACTGACGATATAGCTAGAAAAAGAAATAACAAAATATAAAAGATGGGTGAAATATGTTACTTTATCGAGTCACTCCACCTCACACGACAAAAGCTGACCATGACAAAGCAAGGCAGGCAATTCACATGTTGTACAGGATGTCAAAGGAACTTATGTTAGATGGGGCCGGAAAACTCTTCCAAGTAATTATTACGCTAATACGACTATACTCTTAATAACAATTTTTTAATGGGCTTTGGGTTCATCCAGAGCGGATGTTCTTGACTAATGTTACCAGGGCGTGTTACAACATTTTGAACTTCAGTTGCAGTGATGACCATCCTGAGCTCAGCAGTGCTTTAACAGTTCCGTAGTAAATAACTACCTACAGACTAAACGCCTAAAATAAGAAGAGGCGAGAAATAAATTAAGTGTATTTCATAGGAACTTAAACGTATTCATTTTAACTTGATGAATTCCAGTGGTTCGGTGCTAGTTCGTCTCCATTGTTTTGTTCAAAAAGTCATTCTTAACTAGTTCTTAGTCAGGTTTGTCAGCAACAACCCGTCATGAGAGAGGAGAGTACAGAAGAAGATCTATGCACCTACAACTTAGGAGCAAGTGTGGCGCAGTGGTGACAGCAGTCGCTTCCCACCAATGTGGCCTGGGTTCTCTTGGCGCTGACGCCAAATGTATGTTAAGTTTGTTGCTCGTTTTCTCCTTTTGCTCCGGGAAGTTTTTCTCCGTGTTCTCCGGTTTTCCCCTCTTCTCAAAAACCAACATTTCATTCCAATTCGACCAAGAATCAGGAGCACGAAGAAACATTGATCTGCGACCTTTAAATAGTTATTAATTTACTAATAATCACTAACCCTTGTTTTTTCGTCCCATGGCAAACTTTCGTCGATTTTAACATTTTCATATGTTGGCCACACCTAAAACAGATCACAATACCGCTAAACGATCTTAATTAATCCTAACCCAATACATGCGTAAGTTACATGTAATTGAAACGGACGATTTATTTAGTTTTGTTACAATTAGAGGAAAACAATTATTGAGTTCGTTCGAATTATTCTCAGAAGTCAGTACACGTACTGAGAGCGCACGTGAATAATGAATAGCTTTCCAACTAAGTGATATCAAAACCAAGAAGAAGCTGATCATTGTGTGACGCACATCAGACGGAACCCCATACATACGTATTTATATATATTTATAACGCTATTTCTGCTCCATTATTCAATTCATACCCAGAGAAATTTTAAGATAACCGTTACCTTTCCAAAAAGGTTCTCCCCCGTGTCGCCATCCTTAATAAACACGTTTAACTCATTTCCCCAGTCATAAGGGCGATAGCCAGTATCATTTGCTCCAATAGCGGGATCCTTGGTGAAAAAAAAAGATAATGATAAAATGTTAGTAGATATTTATGTTGGTCTTTCTAATCTACTAAACGGAGAGAATTCTTTTTTTACCTGGCTAAAACGCTTACTGCATTACACTTACATACATTTTAGGTCATATCCCACTACCCAGTCTACAGATACGACACTAGCCTATCATCGCCAGTTAAAACAGAAGATTTCAAAATATTTTTTAAACAACAACAACAACAACAACAACAACAACACGGTTCGGTGCTTTGTTTAAGCTGTTAAGTCGTCAATTGCTTCTTGCTTTATGCGAAGCTTTTACCTAGACAGCTCTCAGGTTGATGGTCAGCGGTTTCAGTCGAAATCAAGCGTGGTTCGGTACCTGTAGTTTAGGTCAGTTTAAACTCCTTGAAACCTTGTCTTTCCCTTTGTTTTCCTTTCTATTCTTTGCTCAGTATAACAGCTTGCTTTTAATCATTATTTCGCCTTTATCTCGAAGTTTTTATGATAGCTGCCCCGTGAATACAAAAAGATACATATATAACGTTATTGCACACAAAGGATGTCAGTTTGCTTATCATAGAACAGTTTAGATGACGTTGCGAAACTTTTGTGTTTGTTTCGTTATGGGCTTCGGAAAATAAAAGGAGAAAACAAAAGTAGACAGTAATTTTTCTTCTACATTTTTCTCAATGGAAAGACAAAATATTATACTAACCAGAATTATTATGTAACGTAAGCCGTCTTTCCTTATTGAGCGAACAAAGTCAGGTAATCCTTTGAAGTTAACAGGATCATAAGTGAAGTCTTTCATTCTTATCATATAGTCAATGTCACCAAACTGCACATCCTGAAAATGGCAGAAAAAAATGTAATTGACAGAGACTCTCCAGAAATATATATTTAGGTGTTAGTAAGAGGATTTGGTTTTCAACATCCCAAAATCAAAACCAAAGGTAATCACAGGTTTTTTTAAATTACCGTATGGACAAATAACTAAACCGGAAGTGATATTGTCTTTTCACAGGCATATATTTGAGGTCCTTTAACAGACCGAATTGACAGATTTCCCTACCTTTTCATATACTTCAACTACTAAAATCCCTACCCTCTCTGAAACTCAGTGAGATACCCCTCTCGTTTCAGGCGGAGCATCTCCGTATAGCCCATGATAGAGAGTACCCTTCCCGCAGGGCACATTCACAGGAAGAGCTACAAGGGTACAAGGTGTAATTAATAGAAACTCTGTGGTCGAAAGGAAAAGAAAACGTCAACCTAGGAGAGAACCCTGGGGACGAGGTTGAGAAAACGTTAGCTTCATACCTGTGGTAAGTTGTGTTTGCTCATGTTCGCTACCAGCCCCTTCACAGTCTCAATCTTGTTATAGCCCCAGCGGGACAACTGGAATCCGAGAGACCAATATGGTGGCAAAAACGTGCGGCCTATAGTCTGAAAAAAAAAATGTGGAGTGAAAGTAACATGTCGTAGATTTTTCGCGGTTTGAAAATATCGTCACTCTTGCAACAACGATTATACAAATACAGTAGAAATAATAGGAGTGTGAAACATTGTTATTACATTGCATCATAGCATCAAAACTCCAAGCAGAAATTAATCTCATGTACAGTGATGTGGTGTTGTGTCCGGAAAAGGCTACTTGATAAGGTTACACGCAAGAAACCTTCACCTGAATGACTGTTATGAGAGAAGAAGGAAAAAAGGAGAAACATAGGAGAAACTAGAGGTGACAGACCGAATTCTATACTCAATAAAATTGACAAACTACATCGCTGATTTACAGCGAAATGATTTTTTTTGACAATTGATTTTACTTAGCAGTATGTTCGCAGGTATCGGTTAAGCGTCACCATTGACAACACTAATAAGCAACAAAGAACTGAAACCAATAATTCCTTTTGAACTGTCCAAGCGCTGTGATGACAACGATCATAAAGTTACTGAAATATTCTTATACCTCTGTATACTGTTTCACGACATCTTCAGGGTTAGGTCCAAGGAAAACGTAAAAATCAAGAATCCCGCCAATTGTACGGTATGTTATGGCTGGCTTAGGTTGCAAGGCAACATCTACAAGGAGTAAAACAAGACAGTCATCTTGTTTAACATGGTGACTAGAGTCAATCGTTCTTGTTATATAACTGGATTTATATTTTCCCCAACAGCGCGCTCCTCTAGGTTTCCTTGTAGTTATTTGACATATGTAAAACTGTTTCCCGCCAAACGTCGCTTAGCGAATCTGAGCAGCGGGCATAGTCTATTACGTCAGAGCCGAGGTAACAGTGCTCTGTTACCCGCTGACATTTTTTGTTATTAGAAATTATATCATTGACATATCGAACATCACAATTTTCGTAGCGCCTTTATTTTTTTTTTTACTGGGGAAGCTTTGTTGTGTTACTTACCCATAGCGTTACTGTTCATAAGCAGAACTCCGTGCGCTTTTCCGTCATTCTCCATACATGTATAAAAAGGATGATGTCCGTACAAGTTCCCTCCAGCCTGTAGAGGTAATTTAATTTTATCTAGTAATCGAGAAAGGAACACCTAAAATGTATATTTTAGTGATACAAAGAGCACTTGGTTTTTTACTACACTTTCAGCCCCAAGAGAGACGGACCTGTGGCCGGCGCTGAGTGGCAAAAGGAGGAGAAATATAAAGAAAATTATGCTACGTGAACAAATTGTCTGAATGACACAGTTACAAGGGCGAAGACAGATTACAAGATGGAGAAATGGAGACTCAAACTTAAACTGAAGAATAGATTAAATACACTGAAACCTGCATCAAGGGGTAGCCAACGGCGGACCATCGGTGGTGCCCGCTTAATGCAGGTTCGTAGTAACTAAAATATGGGAAACAAGTTTTTGGCTTGCTCCTTTATTAGTTGGTGTCCAACTAATACAGGGTGTTTGCTTTAATATTAGATCCGCTAATACAGGATTCAGTTGTAATTAATAAATTAATTCAACTACTGAAATTAATTCAATTTATATAAGGGAGAAATATCGACCGAATCTCTTGACGAGGAGTTGCTTTTAGTTACGAATTATTTTACGGCACTTACAAATGGAAACTGGTCTCTGGCGAAAATAGGAAGTACTTCCCAAGCTGAGAGGTTGCGCTTAAATGACTTATGCTCCTGTTCACCAAACCCGTACACATATGATGAGGGAGGCTGGGTCGAGATCTGGATGAACTGATCTTCGAATATGAACACGCCAACAGAGGAATCCCATCTATAGATAAAGTAATATAATTAAGAGGAGTTTTGGTTTATGGCTGGCTGGACTATCTCGCGCCATTTTCTCACCTATGCAGTCACAAGAAAATCCGACTGAAGATGACTCCGGCACATTTCCTGCGCGCTTAACGTCTAGATTTGAGATCTGATTGGTTACTGAATAATCGCCGCCTTCTGCCTCAGAATAAGTCCTTTTTCCTAGCCTGCAAAACAGGCTCTCTATGAGCCAAGCGAGGCAAACGCGGCATTTCGCGCGAAATGCCGCGTTCGCTTGGCTTGGCTCATAAAGCGTCTGTTATGCAGACTACCTCCTTCCTTGCATAGTTCCTGTGCGGCGTTTTAACAGGCCAGTTCTCGTTCAACGCATTTCGATGACGTAGCCTAGACAAACGGACAAGAGAAAAAAACTCGTCGGACGAAGTGACCCGAAACGCATAGGCCGCGCGGAATAATGAGGCCTAGGGACTAGCCAACATCCTTTCCAAGACACTTTGCGCCCCGGCGTCGCCCCGGCGAGCAAAGGAGCAAGGAGGACGAGGGTAAGGAACGAAACAATTGGCCAGAACACTTGCTTCAGGATAGCATTTTGGTTACACAACAGTCGAATGAAATCACTCACTTCATCTTATTATCCAGGGAAAGGCGATTGCTCTAGAAACGAAATGAAAGTGACAGAATTTCTTGTTTCTCTTATGGATATTATGTGATAAAAGAAAGTACTGATTCTACCAGAAATAAACGCTAGCAAGAGCCATAATGGCTCTCGACGCTAGCAAACAGCAAGAGATCATTCTCTCTTGCAGACAGACAATGTCTAAAACACCTGAGGGAGATAGGGGGAGCGGGTTCGGATAGAAACTAAGCAAGTTGTACTGCAATGCCAACAATTAAAGTAATAAAACTGAAAAAAAGAGCTGATCAGGCCAATCCTTCATTAGTGGACAAACGTGGCTTACTTACAATATAGCACCGTTTTCTTTCCGCACTATTTTCAGGGAGAAGGGATCAGCCTTGAACTCAACTTTGTACTTTGGGT